TTAGCTGCTAGAAAGCTCTTTCAGATTTGGTCAATTCTATTTCATTTGCATCTATGTGGCACACATCGACACATAACAAGTTATCCCGTTACTTGTTGTTCTAAAAGGAGACAGTTCGATTAAATTGGATCAACAGCTTCTAAACACGTAATACAAGCAATCTAAAATGTATATGCCGCATCGTCCTACACTGTAATACACCAACGGGTGTCGTCACAGCACCAGAAATGAGTTTTAAAATCTACCATTTGGAACTAAATAAATTGCAAATGGCGGCCGCCATCTTCATTCCCATTACTGCTGCCTAACTACGACGAATTTCACTGCTAAATTTAACATCTTCAAACTTGAAAGTCAAATAATTGGGATCCTAAATACCTTGAATATGAAGCCTTGTATTCATCTTGGACTGGAAAATGCTTGAAAAGATACAGTAGTGAGCAAAATGTGGAGATCAACGGAGCTAAAGCGATCGTGATTCTGTTGAAAACAGAAGGGGACGTTGAGAACGGCAACGGTAACTACGTTACGGAGAGCTCAGAACGAGGCGCCATCGTCAGCTTCCGGCGTGGTAAAGGCGGCCTAGCCTAATGGCATTGTAAAAGGTGAAAGCAACCGGGATAGCTTTCGGCTGGACATCAGACGTAGCTAATAAAGTTATCATCAATTCCAGCATTTTGTTTGGCAACTCGCGAGACTCAAAGTGCAAAGTTAGAACTGAAACAAACTATACACATGTTTGTGGTTAGAAAGAAATATTTTGTGAAAACTATGTTTGTCTATTTGGATCAAATAATCAGTGCAAGAAATTAACCTTAAACGTTTACTAGCCTAAACACTGATATCGTATTTGGACATCCCCAAAAAACTGAAATTCGTGTAGCCCTTCAGGACGTCTTTCATAGCAGACAAACTGACTCGGAGTAGCGAGCGAGTGACAATTTTCATCCCTGATGATCACAGTGGGATGCTTGAATTATTCCCCTGTCAACTGGGATTAAATATTAAATGGTGCTGGTATATGTACCATGATGAACAGCGACAGTTCTTATTTGGAACCACAATGTCGACTTAAAATAGTTTCTAAAAAATGGGGAATTCAAAATAGAAAATAAACTTCGATAGGTATAGTATCGTCGGTGATAAAAAGTAGACTATTTCTGGTGATGTTTGGCCACAGTGATCCTCCTTGCGTTTGCAGTAGATAATATATGCGCATCTTGACCTTTACAAACGTTTGCTTTGCAGCCTAGTGCTCATTTGAACGGGTCGGTAGAATGTTGAAGAAGAAACTATTTGATATGTGTGTAGCAGGTGCCGTGTGAGGTATGTCGTGAATAGATTGTTGGTTCTGTAGTGTAGGTATTTACCATGGTGTTTATGGTTATTTCTACTACTGTTGTTTGCAGGTTTCAAAACTACTGATGTGGAAATACAGGGATAAATGTAGGAAATAAAAGCACATTTATCAACTGGCCAGTAGGCTCAGCTGTGTTGAAAAGACCTATCCCTCCAAAATACTCTACTGGACAACAGTGTCATCTATTAAAACATCAATTGTCCTTTCTGTCATTATTTCCTTATCTGGTCAAATAACAGATAAGAATATCTACAATTTTTAAACTACTGCTACACACAAGTAGGTGTGAATATAGGCTTTCGACGGGACCACCGGACCACTGCCTTGATATTGTAGCAGGCCCGCTGCTATTTCTGCTGGCCACGGACCAAAGGACCAGCAGTTAAGTCCATTCCTGCGAAAAGCTTCCACGTTTGTTCAAACTGTAGAGATGTGTGGAATCCAAGATTGACGTGAGCGAGGGGAGATCACTCTTAATCCCATATCCGTCTCCTTAAATGGAGGTGAGTGAAGTGCTCGTAATATATCCCATTTGGCGACACTTGTTTTATAGTGAAAAGGCCAGGTTTGATTCGCACTCACTTTATAAGTGTTTCATGAGACACGCTGAGTTGTTACCTTTGAATATTTAACATTTTATTCAGAATTACAAGCGTTCGAGAGACCTGTGCTCATACAACTGTCGCCACATCAAGGAATGTCTATAATCTTCAAGGTAGCCCCACGCCTACATGAATCAGCAGGTATTTGCCAGTACATCTTCCCGAGGCAAGAGCGTCCGCTAGCCTTTTTTTTATCAAAGTCTTATAGAAACTAGCCTTTTGACATGACACTGGCTAGTGGTCACGCTTGCTTCGATAAGATGTCGTCAGTACTGTACAGCTCATCTTTATATTTAGGAAACCGCGCAAGTCGTTTTGTTTGCAAGAAATGAGACTATGTTTAAACTAAGAACTGAAACAAATTAATGGTTTGAAAACAGATAAACCTCCATGATGTACATATTACATAAAATATTTATGTTCGATGATTACTGTTATACAATAATCTTTCAAAATTAGAGTAGGTCTGGATCCATCAGTCATTTATTAACAATTACTGAACACATTTTAATAAATATTAGGGGCAGACATGGTATGAGAAACCAGAAATGTATTTGAACAAGGCTAACTTAACTATTCATACTTCACACACTTATAACCAAGAACTTGACAAAGGGCGGAATTATATCTTTATTAGTTCTGCCAAAATGTAGTTTGTTTTCATAAGTGGTCATGGGTAGACTGGAAGAGCTATTGTGAGCCTTTTTTTTATCAAAGTCTTATAGAAACTAGCCTTTTGACATGACACTAGCTAGTGGTCACGCTTGCTTCGATAAGATGTTCGATGTTATGTTCGATGATTACTGTTATACAATAATCTTTCAAAATTAGAGTAGGTCTGGATCCATCAGTCATTTATTAACAATTACTGAACACATTTTAATAAATATTAGGGGCAGACATGGTATGAGAAACCAGAAATGTATTTGAACAAAGCTAACTTAACTATTCATACTTCACACACTTATAACCAAGAACTTGACAAAGGGCGGAATTATATCTTTATTAGTTCTGCCAAAATGTAGTTTGTTTTCATAAGTGGTCATGGGTAGACTGGAAGAGCTATTGTGAGCCTTTTTTTTATCAAAGTCTTATAGAAACTAGCCTTTTGACATGACACTGGCTAGTGGTCACGCTTGCTTCGATAAGATGTCGTCAGTACTGTACAGCTCATCTTTATATTTAGGAAACCGCGCAAGTCGTTTTGTTTGCAAGAAATGAGACTATGTTTAAACTAAGAACTGAAACAAATTAATGGTTTGAAAACAACTTTTGTTTTGCAAGATCTGTCATGGTATCAAACACCTTTACCTTAAGGCAGATAAACCTCCATGATGTACATATTACATAAAATATTTATGTTCGATGATTACTGTTATACAATAATCTTTCAAAATTAGAGTAGGTCTGGATCCATCAGTCATTTATTAACAATTACTGAACACATTTTAATAAATATTAGGGGCAGACATGGTATGAGAAACCAGAAATGTATTTGAACAAAGCTAACTTAACAATTCATACTTCACACACTTATAACCAAGAACTTGACAAAGGGCGGAATTATATCTTTATTAGTTCTGCCAAAATGTAGTTTGTTTTCATAAGTGGTCATGAGTAGACTGGAAGAGCTATTGTGAGCTGTGAGAGTTGAGGTTGTGAGGCACACTAAATCAGGCAGCCTGAACTAAGATGAACGGGACGTTTAGCCAAAGGGTGGTTTTGAGTTTGCATGATTTTCACCACAAAAGGTCCTGTGAATGGACCTCTCAAGGGGCTATGGGAGGAAGCCAGTATTAACACATAGCATCTATCTGTAGACAATGTAAGGTGGGAACCACCATCACACCTTTACCAGCTTCCAGTAAAGACTAAAGACTATTCTTGTATAATGTGTTTATTAGCTGCCAGCAGCACATTGAAGCAAAAGACAGTAACAGATATTTTAACAAATCTATGTTACAAAAGTATAAAAATAAAATAAACAAGGGAACAAAATGCTGGACGGAACTCTTGTAATGATGATAGGATATAACATGCATCTGTGTATACGAGGTTAGAATTCTGGACTTTCAAGAGTGAGTAGTGTCTGATGCCACATTGAATAGAATGCCACTTATTTCATGTAATACCCCCCCTTTTACTATGACCACGAATACCCCAAATCACCTCAAACTGGAATTTTTCATGTTCGTAGATAAGTCTCAATGATTTCTTGAAGTTCTTAAATGAATCTGTTTGTTTCCCAAACACTCGTACAGTTTGCGGGATTCTTTGAATCGGCGAGAAAGTTTTTGTTTGTCAAAAACTTTTGTGGAAAGGTCCCCAAATTGCAATTTCGTTGCTGTATCGTGATCCATTCGTAATTAATTCTTATGTTCCATAACAGCTTCGTAATAATTCGTAAGCTTCGTAACAACATTCGGCATATTTGTAACTTAGTCGTAGGTGATTCTGACAATTAGTGCATGATCCGTACATGAATCTTGTAATTCATACATGTTTCTTAACCCATTCCTGGCATTCTTCATATTTTTCAACCCGATTAGCCATGAAAGTTTGCATTATTGGCCGAATCATCACAAATTTCGAAAGACTCCGATTTGGGGTGATTCAGGATATTCATGGTCGTAGTGAAAGGGGGGCATTAATGGTGACATCCCAAGGAAACCTAAACCGACGTGGGTGGCATTCATGACCCACTTTGGTGGAACCCCAATGACAGGTATGGTGCTGACAAACCAATGATTATATTACCGTATTCAACGTAATAACGCCCCGCTCTAATGGCGTTATTTGCTAATATATTGGCTAGTGAACAATCCCAATTAGCACCCCTTCCGATTGATCAATGTACACAAGACTTATTTGTTCGTGTATAATACGCACCCGTGTGTTATATGCATCCTTAATTATGGGCAATTAAATTCTGGAAAATATATCTGTCGTGCATGATACACACATACTTTTCTTTTGTATCCTTTCAGGCTGTCGGCATAAACTACGAAATTTACAATTTTTCAACTCTGTTTTTTTTCTTCACCAAAATTATATTCTAATAAGAGCCCACTATTTCTAATTTTGAGAGCGCCCAGGGCGTGTATTACGTCGAATACGGTAATTGATAATTGAAAACCCTTAAACAAGACCTCTGACTGACAGACATGTGAGGAGTTTTAAATAACAGAAGCTTAAAAAACATTACATTCTACGGACGTAAGAGTTTATATTTGGATATTTTGATTTAGGTCAAACAACGTCACGGTTTAAAAGTTACCATTCCTTGCTTGATAAATAATCAGTCAATGATGACACCTTTCAGAATAAACTATTTTGATTTGTTTCTGACTCACATAGGTAGATTAATAATTAACTCATTTCATAGAGTAATAATAATGGTAAAGAGCAGGAACATGAAGTAGTTTTGATTACAGATAAAATGCAAAGTAATAAAAAATGCATTATATGCTAAATATATTGCAGTAAACAATCATATAAGTTCATGTAAAGTGATGCCTGCACACAACAAATGGTGAATTATACAATACAAAGTCATCCGATTAAACTGAATTTTATACCCACAAAGGAAAGTGTTGGACGTCTAGTTCTAGTTAACAAATGCTGTCACAATAAAGAGGGTGGGGGTCAGAATATGTTGATGCACTAACATACTGAAAATATTTACCCCCCCTCCCCCTCATACTTTTGGATGACCCTCCCAATGTCCTTGTACATTTTTTTCATGACCCTCCCTAAAAAGACAAAATGCAAAAGCACTCTATATTTTTTTAATAAAATGTCCATTTATTGTTGGCCCTCCCTAAATATGTGTATTATTCTTGATTACCCTCCCCTAGAGACTGTCGGGTTTTTGGTGACCCTCCCCTGATTCCTCTGACCCACCCACCAACATGATAAATGATCTTGGTACAATCCAAGGTAAAATAGCTAAGCAAGCCCCTCTGCTTGCTATTGTCAAATTCAAATGTGAAATGATCCCATAGTCCCATGGTCCAATTCTAAATACAAAAACTCCCATAACCATTAACAACATGACACATATATATATCATGACAAACATAATTCAAAATAACATGTTAAATCACACCAAGAGGTTTATCACAGATGTCTTTAAAGGCATGAATCACAAATATACCAGTATAAGAAAACATAAAATATCACATGTTCGGCCACAATAAATTAATCATTATATTTTCATCTCCACCAGCCTCTCTACCAAACACCTCACCTCACATCATTGTACAGTTCCCATGTACCTACACACGAAGAAAAAATGCTATATCTTTCAATATACTTGCTCAAATAAACAAACAAACAAACAAACTTCATCTGAATCAAATCTGTCATCATTTGATTTACACAAATGCCTTTAACAGTTTGTTAAAATATATATATATTCCACACATTTAAAAATGCTCCCAACCAAATATTTGTTATATATAAAATGCTCCCAACCAAATATTTTTTAAACATCTGGATGGAAATCTAATAAGTAATTTATTGCAGCCTTACTATAACCTTGACAGGTGAAATTGTCCATATAATCATAAATATTTTCATTATAAGAAACAAATTCTTTGTTGATACAGAAATATTGACAATTGTACAACAATAAATATCAACAATAATTTCCATTTCCCATACAAATCAATACATTTTGATACAGCAGATTATTGTTAACTTGTAACAGATTACAACAAAGTTTCATTGGTAACTTCTTCAGGTCTTGTTACAGTTTCTCAATACCATTACGTCTTTCAGTACAATTTCATTGGTTGACTAAAGTTAGCGAGCTAACTATGAATTGAGAGACATCAAGGAATATCCCATGGAATATTTTGCACCTTTGTTTATGTGATTCAACAGCAATATGCATACCATAATCACCTAAACTCTCTGTAAGTGTCACGTAGGGTCAATAAAGAAACGAATAACTTTAACTCAAATTTAAGCAGAAATATAAACAGGTTCCTAATATTAAATGCATTCCACTCAATCATGTAATTCAGCATCTTCCAGAGGCAAGAGATTTAACTGACGTTAAAAGTCCAGTTTCTATCCTTGACGAACTAGGCAAACATGAATCAAACATGAACCTGCATAACAAGACCTGATAACATCCTCAAGGAGAGGCGTCCTTCATTCCAATTTCCGTACTTAAGAGGTTCACCATCAGTCTGGAATAGAGCTCATTGTCTTCCACATTGCCATAAGGAATATTACAGACATCATAGTGTACACAAGACCATTTAACTAAGTATACACATCGTTTTCATCATTGTATCAAAGAATCGTCTTTGTTGAAACTATAATTAATGCACGATCAATGCTAACATCAAGGTGGACATATCATTTGGAGTATTAAATTGGATAAAGCTTGTAAGTCACCCACAGGTCAAAGACACTGATGGATGCTAAGGTCACATTGAGGTGAAGATCACTTTGTGTCTATAGTTTCTTCTTCCTGTCTGCGTAAGATCCTGCACTGCTGGGTGATTGTGAGGAGCCCTCACCCGAGTCCTCGTGGAATCCGCTGCGCGTGAATACGGTCTGCCTGCCTCGTACCTGGTAAGCACAAAACTGAAATCTTACAAGGTGAGTGAGGTCTTACCCTTTTGAGTTTCGGCAGTGACTAAAGTAGAACTTGTTTGCAGCAGATATCTCATAGCGTCCCATAAATCAAATCACCCAAGATACAGAATATATGATGCTTGAAACAAAAAGTTCCATTTAAAAAAAATAGAAATCAAAAGGCCAAATACATATGAGTGAGAGAAACATATCCGTTTCAGCTTAGCCTGGTTAATCTCAGTTGTGTCTGATTGTTGAATCACCCCACTCAACTTAAGTTGAGTGTACTTCTCATTAACATTGCAACTTAACTTGAGCGATTTTTGTACGCAATAGATCTGACATATTTTAAGGCCAAGTCAAGGCCAAGTCAAGGCCAAGCTATCTTTAACCCAATTCAATTTAGCCTCATGAAGCACACTTATCTCACCCTACAATCAACAGCTATGTCATTAAGCCATCGTCAAGTCAACCTCAACCCTGTTCAACCTACCCAAACAAATTCTAAGTAAACATGGTAACTAAGAAGCTGTTGAGTCCGAGCCCGAGTGTTGCCGTGGGGCTGTACCTACCTTGTGAAGGCTGACCTGGGAGCCCATGAAGTTCTCGAGGTCCTTGGCGCCTCGTTCTAGAGCCACCTTCACATCCTTGTCCATGCCGGGGATTGATATGTCCCCAAACACCTGTGCACAGATCACAGTAGAAATATACCAGGGGGTAACTGGTTTTCAAAAACTTGACACAGGGCAAGCGTTCATCATTTTCACACTTGCCCCAAATTTCAAAAGAAACAAAATAACTCGAGACACAAAATGATGATATAGTCAGCTATCGATGGACATCAATGACATGATTTCTCGGGGAGTCAATTCTAAAATGTGAGCATCCTTCAACAAACATGATTTTGTGTTTTCTTAAGAGACCAAGGAAATTTACAGTAAAGAGTTTTAAGCTGCAATCAGCAGGGGTTCTTGGGACCTACTTGGCTCCAGAATAGCCAGAGATTGAAGATGTAATGAGGTCTGGTAATGTTGCAGTGAAGCTGCCTACCTCTACTATGGCCCCATCAGGCAGACGCAGGAAGTGTCGGTACAGCTCACGGAGGCCGTCTAGGTGGATGGTGTGGATAGCGATGTGGGTGGTGATCTCTTTCCTGTTCTCCTTCTTCACCCGCACCTCCTCCCCGCTCTCATCCCATATGTTCTCCTCCAGCTGCAGAAACCAAGGCATGTGACTTACATACGTCTTCAACAGAATTCACCTGCACTACTCTATCACACAAATCTGATTGTTGCTGTTTATTTCTTAATATGGTTTATGAAATGACATCTTCCCGAGGCAAGAGAGTTAACTGACTTTAAAAGTCCAGTTTCCACCCTTGCCGTACAAGGTTGGAATTCCTGGGCTCGATCGTAGCACCACCAGAGGCTATTATCAGTTATGTCCCTTCTAAGCCTCTCCTATGGACCAATCAGATTCCACCTATCGTATCACTTGCATTTGCTTCACACAAAATGGTGGCGCCCAGTCAGGATGATCTGATCGATAGTCAAGATCTATATTGTGATAAAACAGGTCTTACATCGCGAAATGCATCAAATCACGTGAGCACCTTGATTAAAGACATGAAAAAATTTGGAAAGTATCTGCTGACAACAAGTTGGTGGTGCACATGCTTTTTAAATCCTGCAATCGACCAAAATCTGCACGACAGTTTACGAACCGGATTTCTATTTCTGTGCTCGATTTTGATTGGACTATGCATAGACTCGTTAGTCCAGCCAAAATGTAACTCCATAATACCAGCCTAGTTGGGCAAAGGTGGAAACTGGACTTTTAAAGTCAGTTAACTCTCTTGACTCGGGAAGATGATGAAATGATGTAAATGAAACAATACAATCTAATCCTCCAATCTATTTCTCTAAAGTTTTCAGAGATATCAATTTTCTGCCAGATGGAACCTTCCTCACCCACCTGTTACCCCTGCTATTCCCAAAACCCACCTGTTACCCCTGCCTGTCCTCACCCCACCAGTTACTCCTGCCCCTCCCCACCCCACCAGTTACCCCTGCCTGTCCTCACCCCACCAGTTACCCCTGCCCCTCCTCACCCCACCAGTTACCCCTGCCCCTCCTCACCCCACCAGTTACCCCTGCCTGTCCTCACCCCACCAGTTACCCCTGCCCCTCCCCTCCCCACCCCACCAGTTACCCCTGCCCCTCCTCACCCCACCAGTTACCCCTGCCCCTCCTCACCCCACCAGTTACCCCTGCCCCTCCCCACCCCACCAGTTACCCCTGCCCCTCCTCACCCCACCAGTTACCCCTGCCCCTCCTCACCCCACCAGTTACCCCTGCCCCTCCTCACCCCACCAGTTACCCCTGCCTGTCCTCACCCCACCAGTTACCCCTGCCTGTCCTCACCCCACTAGTTACCCCTGCCTGTCCTCACCCCACCAGTTACCCCTGCCTGTCCTCACCCCACCAGTTACCCCTGCCTGTCCTCACCCCACCAGTTACCCCTGCCCCTCCTCACCCACTAGTTACCCCTGCCCCTCCCCACCCCACCAGTTACTCCTGCCCCTCCCCAGCCCACCAGTTACCCCTGCCCCTCCTCACTCCACCAGTTACCCCTGCCCCTCCTCACCCCATCAGTTACCCCTGCCTGTCCTCACCCCACCAGTTACCCCTGCCCCTCCTCACTCCACCAGTTACCCCTGCCCCTCCTCACCCCACCAGTTACCCCTGCCCCTCCTCACCCCATCAGTTACCCCTGCCTGTCCTCACCCCACCAGTTACCCCTGCCCCTCCTCACTCCACCAGTTACCCCTGCCCCTCCTCACCCCATCAGTTACCCCTGCCTGTCCTCACCCCACCAGTTACCCCTGCCTGTCCTCACCCCACCAGTTACCCCTGCCCCTCCTCACCCACTAGTTACCCCTGCCCCTCCCCACCCCACCAGTTACTCCTGCCCCTCCCCACCCCACCAGTTACCCCTGCCCCTCCTCACTCCACCAGTTACCCCTGCCCCTCCTCACCCCATCAGTTACCCCTGCCTGTCCTCACCCCACCAGTTACCCCTGCCCCTCCTCACTCCACCAGTTACCCCTGCCCCTCCTCACTCCACCAGTTACCCCTGCCCCTCCTCACCCCATCAGTTACCCCTGCCTGTCCTCACCCCACCAGTTACCCCTGCCCCTCCTCACCCCACCAGTTACTCCTGCCCCTCCTCACCCCACCTCACCAGTTATCCCTGCTATTCCCCACCCCACCTGTTAGCCCTGCCTGTCCCCACCCCACCAGTTACCCCTGCCTGTCCTCACCCCAACAGTTACCCCTGCCCCTCCCCACCCCACCAGTTACCCCTGCCCCTCCCCACCCCGACAGTTACCCCTGCCTGTCCTCACCCCACCAGTTACCCCTGCCTGTCCTCACCCCACCAGTTACCCCTGCCTGTCCTCACCCCACTAGTTACCCCTGCCCCTCCTCACCCCACCAGTTACCCCTGCCTGTCCTCACCCCACCAGTTACCCCTGCCTGTCCTCACTCCACCAGTTACCCCTGCCCCTCCTCACCCCACTAGTTACCCCTGCCCCTCCCCACCCCACCAGTTACTCCTGCCCCTCCCCACCCCACCAGTTACCCCTGCCCCTCCTCACTCCACCAGTTACCCCTGCCCCTCCTCACCCCATCAGTTACCCCTGCCTGTCCTCACCCCACCAGTTACCCCTGCCCCTCCTCACTCCACCAGTTACCCCTGCCCCTCCTCACCCCATCAGTTACCCCTGCCTGTCCTCACCCCACCAGTTACCCCTGCCTGTCCTCACCCCACCAGTTACTCCTGCCCCTCCTCACCCCACCTCACCAGTTATCCCTGCTATTCCCCACCCCAACTGTTACCCCTGCCTGTCCCCACCCCACCAGTTACCCCTGCCTGTCCTCACCCCACCAGTTACACCTGCCCCTCCTCACCCCACCAGTTACCCCTGCCCCTCCTCACCCCAACAGTTACCCCTGCCCCTCCTCACCCCACCAGTTACCCCTGCCCTTCCTCACCCCACCAGTTACCCCTGCCTGTCCTCACCCAACTGTTACCCCTGTCCCTCCTCACCCCACCAGTTACCCCTGCCTGTCCTCACCCCACCAGTTACCCCTGCCCCTCCTCACCCCACCAGTTACCCCTGCCCCTCCTCACCCCACCAGTTACCCCTGCCTGTCCTCACCCCACCAGTTACCCCTGTCCCTCCTCACCCCACCAGTTACCCCTGCCCCTCCTCACCCCATCTGTTACCCCTGCCTGTCCTCACCCAACTGTTACCCCTGACCCTCCTCACCACACCAGTTACCCCTGCCCCTCCTCACCCCACCAGTTACCCCTGCCCTTCCTCACCCCACCAGTTACCCCTGCCTGTCCTCATCCAACCAGGTACCCCTGTCCCTCCTCACCCCACCAGTTACCCCTGCCTGTCCTCACCCAACTGTTACCCCTGCCCCTCCTCCCCCCACCAGTTACCATTATTCTTGTTGTATACTCACATCTTCTTCCTCCCAGACATAGTCATACACTGCCACTTTGCGTCTCTCTCCTTCCTCCCCCCGCCACTGCTCAGCTTTCCTGCAGATGTAGTGGAGCTCCTGGTTGGATAGTTCCAGGTCATAGGGCACGAAGAAGTGTTCCTCATCCCCATGGAGACGCCAGAAGATGTCCAGCATACGACCATTGTTGTGCAGTCTTAAAGTAAATGATAGGTCTTAGTAGATGGATGCAAACAAAGTGTCAACATAAGTATCAATGTAGAACTGAACATCTGTGCTAAATATCTCCCACCTTCCATGTAGATCTGGCCTGTCCAGTGGGCTGTGTATATGATCACAATAACACAGGGAATGCAATACAAATCTAAAATCATGTGAAGTTAATTGCCAGAGTTCCAGAGCAAATTCATATCCAGAGCAAGTTCTGATAATCCATGGTATATCATCACTGCTGACAAAATGAAGTTGTCTCCTCCCACCTACCTGAGGAAGTACATGTAGAGGATGGATCCAGCCATGAAGCTGGTGAAGATGTAGAGGAAGACGGTGATGAAGATGCCCGCCAGGCCAGACCCCTGGGCCCTGTAGAAGTGCCAGTACAGCTTGGCAGCATCAGCTATTGGCTCAGTGCTGTCATTGTTGTAGGTCTGGGGACAGAATGAGACATTATCTCCAAAGAGTTCGGATAAAGAGGCGTCTCACACTAAAACCTCACTGGTGTAACCAACAGGTGTATCACCTTGACACTTCCTAAAGGTTAACTGTAAATGCACCTCAAAGGCCTTGACACATTTTGAGAAAGTCATTCACAAATTACCAAAGTAAGAACTATATCAGAGAAGTATGCTTAAGCTACCCCAGGGGAGCTGGTAGTTCTACGGCAAAACTTAATCACCTGTTCCCAAAACACCTGATGTTACGACTGTAAGTTTCATTGATTGAGATATGAACGATAGAATAAGCTGCAAACTAAATGACTGATGTTTACATAATAATTTAATGACACTATTATGAATCGAAATCTGCATTTGAATGCTTGCCTGTGTAATCAAATCTATGTTAAGCCAGTCATACCTAATGTGTTAGCTACATAATATCTACCAACCCACCTGCATACAACAGTCGACAATTAGAGTCAAGAGAGGGTCGAGGAACGTGAAGAGGCCGAAGCAGATGACGAACTTGGAGCAGAGGTCGGGGAAGATGGAGAAGATCTTGGGTGAGATCCAGGCGAACAGCACCAGCAGGCAGAAGACAAGGATGTTGATCAACGGCCCGAAGAACACCACCGCGATCTCCTCTCTGGCTCGCAGCAGGGTGGCCTGGTAGTTCAGCTTCACAGTGTAGGGCAGGAACTCAAATCTGGGGGCAAGAAACAGGAAAGCTGACTTGTTGATGGGAATATATGGGAGTTTGTGAGTAATCCAGGGGAAGCATTAGCTGCTTGGTGTTGTCATGTTGTGAGGAACTCAGATACAGATTCAGTTGAGAGACCTTTGTTGTCAGTAATGATACGAGGGGAATGATTTCTCTGTATGATATTTCAAACATTTCCTTCAGGTCAGTGTTCAAAATAGACATAGGCCTTGAAGGCACAAGGCTGACAGATTTGTTTTAGGGCTGATAGTTTTATATTTCAGCAATAGAGTTAATTTAGGTAATGTGATGAACATAACCTTCATATTTATAAACAGTAGGATTACACCTTTCAAATGGTGTAGGACATGAAGTCGCAAAGATGTTTTACTTTGCTGGCCCTTGCAGCTCTCAGTTTACTCTGCTGAGTTTTTTCTGCTGACACTGCTTCAGGTGTAACTAGTTTACATTCTTCTTATTATTTGTAATAAGGACAAAACAAAACTGACAATAAATGTTGTCAAGAGATTTCTTGAAGTAATGTTCACCAAACAAACTGTTCAAGGAAGCATATTTGCATGTCAGGAATATGGATAAACCCATCTCGGGCAAAAAACACAAAATATATTCTGCCGGGTGATCACAACTGGTTCACTGACTACTATCATGTAATGAATTGTTTTGTGCCTCTGTATCACAAGCTCAATAGTGAAAGGTTTTGTCCACGTGTCCCTCCCCGACATTTGTTCAGCTGCTCCCGACACTCACTTGTTGATGGGGATGGAGATGGCGCTGAGGAAGAGCCACTGGCCGACGTAGTGGAGCGTCATCCTCAGGAAGAAGACCAGGATGAACATCAGCATCATGCCCCAGAACTCCCGGCTCCGCCATTGGGACAGACCAAGCTCCGCCAGGAACTGTCGGCGGATGTAGCCGAACTTCTCACGACCATTCTGGGCCAGGCGACCCTTGCCGCTGAATGGGGGTCTGCAAGAGGACGATTTAGGAGTGTGGTAATTAATTAATATGATGACTAATACAATACAACACCATTCTTTGTTATTACCATATATGAATTCTCAAAGTGTCAAAAAAATCTTAACATATGAAAAGCAATATAATAACTATGTCAAATCCACCTGAACTATTACAGGTGTAGTGATTATTTAAACATCTGGTATATACTCTGTGCCATGATACAAACATACATGAGGTTGACATGTGGTAGTGAAATGTATTATAACTGCCGCCATGTACAAGAGGTACCAAGCAAAAGTTACACTAATTAACTCGAATCCACTGAACATTACATGGCGTTGGATTTCTTTTCATTCTCTTGGATGATGGTGTTTTCATGTATCGTATCGTGCATCACATAGCAACCTTACTGCTGACATGTATGAGATCGCGACAGTACAGTCTAGTCGTAGTCCCACTCACTGTACACGGAAGGTATGCTGCTCCAACTGCTCCACGTGGGTCAGCTTCTTCTTCTTGTTGCGAGGGGCCAGGACTGGTGTCTTGGGCAACAGTGAGAACATCTTCCTGTAGTACATGTCTGTCGGGTTGTTCAGGTAGCGCTGTAAGGAAATGTTCAAATCAGATCCCCTTGTCGGTATTGTTGCATTTCAAATCATTGCAAGGTGAAACTTCACTGACTTGTACCTTGTCAATCACAATAAATTCAGATTTCCTCTATACGATGCCTCAGTTTTCCTCTGATATGATGCCTCTCTGTGTGACGGTCGGGCAATCCCTTCATCTGTTGTGTCAGGCAAACCGAGTGAACTGACCAACCAATAGCAGGAATGTTGGTTCATGAGCCAATCAGACGTCAGCTTTCTAAAATAATTTGGCTTCGATTCTTTACAACCTCTAGCTAGAAGTATCAATGTTAAGAGAAGAAAACCCTGATGCAAATATAGCCTACCTTAAAAAGTGCTATGTTTTGGAATTAAATGCCATAACGCTCACAACTCAGTGTATAACATGTCCACAACAATATAACAATGCAGCCTATTTTATATTCCATTCAGAACTGCCCACTTATGTTCAAGTTACAGAAATCAGATGTGCTCCTCTGAATGCTTCGCTCATTCACACTGAGAATATAAAAGACTCTAAGTTACCTGCTTGAGTTCACTGACACGACCTCTTATGGATGTGTCCTCAGGACTTCACCCAGATAGTAGGGCTAGGACGTGTCAAAATTTACTACCCGGGTACCCCCCTATTACCCGACCCTACCCGGGTACCCGCTGTAGGTCTCAAGAGATAGGTCCAAATGTCCGACTGGCAATAGTATGACCGTAGCCCTGGCAAAATGTATTTAGATACACGTAATGCATAAACTGAAGTTGACTGAAGTTTTATCTTTATTCATACATAAAGTCAGAAAGAATGTGTGCATAGTCAAAAAGAAATGCAAACATTAGTCACTTATGGTGTAACTATAGAGTTCTAGATAATCTTTTTTCATTAAACAATATAACACGTGACTAACCACTGGTACGGTTAGTCCTGTGCGTACCCGGGTCCTACTCAGTACCCACCCGACCCAAGTACCCCTCCCAGCCCTACCACAGAAGTATCATAATGGTCTAACGAATCTGATTTTATTGAGATTCCAACTTAATGAACTCACTATATTATTAATGTAACTTAATGACACAATTATTAATGTAACTTTATGACCCAGACAGTATCCTTTTTAGCTTTAATACTGAAATATTGTTACCATATATCGCTGTGTATAAGCGAGTTGTTGATACCTCAAAGTAGGGGGCTTTCAAGTGGGGTTGTCTTATACACAGGCTTAAAGAGTTTTGATGTTTTTCCCCCCAACACAGACATAACTGTGAGTATGTAACACTGGAAATACTATGTCAACAATGAAGTACGCAAACTAATCATGTAATTACATTGTCTGGTCATAAAAACAGTTCATTATATATCTGAACTTACCTTTGTAATCTATTTTATTAATTTTATTCAAAATTTCATTCAATATCGTTTATTTTCATTTCCGCAAAATCGTATGTGAAGTGATCGGAAAATCGCAGAACTCACCGTTATTTACAGCAACCACGGTCAAATTACCGCTATTGACGCCTTGGAACAAACTTTAGTGGATAGAGAATAGATAAGCATATCATAAATGCTTACTTTGACTTGCTGAAAGTCACATTTATTGTAGTTTGACTATTATTTGTCAACATAAAGTTTTCACTATCGCGAGTGCGGAAGCATCGGCGGTGATTGGTCAAATTGTTCCATACGAAAATAGCGATCAGCTGTACCAAAGTGCTAGGCTTATGGTTATAACTTTATTTCAAATATAGTAAAATACTACTAAAATAACATGATACTGGAATAAATTATTCCGAATGAAATAATAGTTTCAGATTCAATTCTTTCGATTGTTGTTTCAAAATTCTTTAAAATTATATTATTGTATTTATAAACAAAATCATCGGTAGATTCCGAGAACGTATGTACAGCTGATTGCTACTTCCGGCTAAGTGTATAAAAAAATACACACGGTAATCTTGATCTCTGCATATAAAACAATGCCTATCAGAACAGGAAATACAATTTAATCGGTAAATGATAATGTCTAGCATTTATTTTTATCTCAACTCTTTAATTTGTATTGACCAAGTTTAATTGTTATGATCTGTTCGTTTCCCTGATCGCTAAAGGGAAACGATGTAATTTTTTTCCTGCAGAAGACAAACACGTTTTTATTGGAAATATAGGGATTATTTATGAGCTGGTGATGTGCTTCATTCCAATTTGCTTTGTAGACGGGGTATATAAATAAGCATTGATTTTAGAGGCTTGTACAGGGGGTCGTCTTATACGTGGGGTTGCTTTATAGACAGCAATATACGGTAACCCAATATATTTTCAATGATCTATAATGACTTCCATAATTTTAATTTTAATTTTCTTCATACTGCTTTATCCTTCCAGAACACAGGCTGTACACAATATTGTGTAAGTTTCCACACAATCAACAACCATTTTGCAGTTATAAAAACACATTGCATCTAAATACACCTTTTTCTAAACACAATAGAAAATGTACATGGAAATAAATATGCAAAAAAAATATGATCAACTGGCCCACATTTAACTTACACGTTATTTCAATAATATAAGCATCTTCTCAGATAGTCCATCCCAGGGGGCCTCACCTTGTAGTACATGCCGGGCATGCCCTTGACCGGCTTGAAGTCGTCCCGCTTCTTGGCATGGTACAGGCTGTCCTCTGACTCGGCATCGCTGTTGGAGTCACTGTCCTCCATCCTCATCTTCTTGTCTTCCCTCTGTATCAGCCGTGACACGATGGTGGTGGGCGGGGTTATCTCGCGCTGCATCACAAAGTAGGCTCGCCATTTATACATCTGATTGTTACTACTGTGGACTTCATAGAAGACTATCTCTATTTTCATGATTTACAAGAGGACATAGTCATTGATATCCCCTCAATGGTAAATACCTGTCATCAATACATCAACTAGTTATAATGGTTGTATGTATCAAAAGGCACCAGTTCACCAATACATCTATCTATATGCCAAGTTTGGTGAAGAAATAGTTCACGGTTTGCAAGATCTACTCCGGAAACGAGTACTACTGACCTTTTCAGTCTAAGTCAAAGCTGTTGACATAGGAACTCAAAACATAAATGTTAAAAAAATCCCAAACTATCAAAAGGCACCACTTTCCCATTAGACCCATCTAGGTGCCATGTTTGGTGACAAAATGTTGTATGTTTTTAAAGATCTTCTCTGGATTTGACATGGACAGATGCACGAAAGGAAAGTCCATTTTAAAATCGCCACAAAATTGCTTGCTAGCAGTGGGGGTGGTAGGGGTTAGGGTCATCGTTCATTCGTCAAAATATAGATGGGATTTTCAAATTTCTTTTGCTCATTGGGGTCCATAATAATAATCATTTTCTAAAGGGGAATGGGGAGAACACTTTACCAAAAGCCTACCCACCAGCCCTGAAGTTAATGTTACATAATCTACTGCACGTCGTCATTACAGTATCAGTCGTGACACAATGGACTGGGTCGTCTCACAGTAGGCTCATGATTACATATCTGATTGAGTCAATTTTGTTGTTCACTTGATAAAATACACAAATATTTTAACCAAAAGAATGTCTTTTCAAATCTGTTACTCATTGAGATCCATAATCATATTAAGTTATTATCATCAAAAAGGAACACTTTAACCACAAGCCTACTCCCTCCCTCCACCCCACCCCCCCCCCCCCCCCCCACCCCTGCATGTCTTCATGTTACTTTTACATAATGAACTACTTGTTGTTACCTTCTTGCCCTTTTCTGAGAGCCTCACTTTGGTTGTGGCAGCCACAGAATGGTTTGTGGTGTCAAGGTCACTGGAGGTGTTTCCCATCAGGCTTGGCTGGGAGTTTCTGGGAGTAGAAGACAGAAAGTGATTATCTGTGTACAATATGTACCAAATATTAGGAGGTGTCAATACATCAGGGCTTGAAAATTTCTTAAACCCAACTTGACCTGCAGAGCAAGAAGATATTATTTTGTACTTGTCATGCAATATTTCCAGTTGCCCTATTAAGTTGTATATAGTTTTATGTTCTCAGTTATTATTACCATTTTCTGTAATCAACCTTTGAGTTGAGGATATTAACGACAAGCAGTACAAAATAATTCACAGTCACTCAGCCATGAACATTGCGTTTTGGTATTTTACAGTCATACTGTTTTTTTTAAATAAATTCATTTTCTTGGCTGTTTGGTAAGCAAATCATGTCAACCTCACCATTCCAGATAAAAAACATCCATTACCCTCACAAATCATTCACTTTTGCTTTGATATTTGAGAATCAGTAACAAGTTACTTACAACAAAAATAATGAATATAAGTGTCACCCTTTAAAAATGTTTCATGACCTGATGTGCAAATGCACTTTTTGTGGACATTTTCTTCGACAGAAAGTTGCTAAGTATGCCGTCTATTTCTGATGTAAGTGACATGTAGCTTGTTATTATTACTACGAACCTATGAGAAATGAAAACACATTTCAGGTTCCAATTTTATCTGGCATATTTTATTGAAAATGATCAGAGATAAATTTGATACAATTGAAATATATGTAATCGCCCAGTAGGAAGAGTGTTTCTTCACTTCATCCTCGCCCTGCACATGCTGCCACTCGTCAATACAAGCGGATGAGTGGAGTTTTCAAGCCCTGAATGCAAATGCAGATAAAGACCATTCTGATTTACATTTGCTTAGGGACACAAGTTGGATGATAAAAGAGGATTAAAGTGGTATTACCACCAGTACACAAAGCATGCAAAGGGATATTTTCTTGTATACTTTGTTATAGATCTGGTTAGACAAAGTTCTCATTGTCAAATGCTCCAGCGCTAACTACAGTTATTTCAACATACCAACTTTTTTTTTAGATATCACTTTTGAAAAGCATCAGTTTGCAATTATATTTCAATTGTCACAAATACCTTCATGAAATATTTAATAAAAACTAATGAGTGAGTAAATATTGTTTAATATTGTTTAATACCACATTCAGCAATACTCCAGACAGTGATTGATATCATGAGCAACAATCCATGCCGTCAGGGTATGACAACATGCAATCAACAAATCACTGAGTCTGACCACCTGATCCATTAAGTCGCCTTGTATGACAAGCATAGGTTGCTAGGGACCTATCCAAACTCGGAACCCCCACAGCAACCGTTTAAATGTACATATTGACTGATCCTGTGATGGCCCTGTACGTACTGCTGGCTCCTGTCGGAGGCCATGTCGCTGGTGGAGCCTGGCACCGGCTCCTCCCCATCCTTGTTCTCCTCCCAGCCGGTGCGGATGCGGTCGGGATACCCGGTGATGCCAGACGTGAACTGCAGCTCCACCTCATACTCCTTCTGTCCTGCCATGTATCTGAAACACAGAAATATTCATGCCTAGATAGTGTTTAATGTTCAACAACCTAAGTCACAGCATATAGAGTTGTGGAACCAGGTTGAAGCCAATTAAAAACCTGGCTGGAAGTGAAAGCAGCAATAGTATGTAAGGACCTACAGATGCATTTTACCACAGTAGACAACGGGACATCCAAGATACTTACTATCGAAGCTACCTTGCTCATTTTTGACAAAAGAAACCTGTTTTTTCAGTTCATTGTTAAAATAACATTTCTAAAATACCTGTATCCCCATGAGAGTTAACACACCTTAAATTACTTAGATGACATATACTAAAACATTTCTTCACACTGTTAATTGAATCCTCGCGAAACTATATGGTATGACATTAGGACAGACATCTCTGATGAGTATTAGAACTATATGGTAACAATAATTGTGTTATAAACATATGAAATCTAGGTAGGCCTGAATAATACTAAGCTTTACCAACCTGGGAAGTTTGACGATCTCGAAATACAGATTGCTCATCCAGTGATCAAGGTCAGAGGCCATTAGCTCCTCAATCTTTTCATGTTTGTCGATGTTAGGGTCCATCTCACCTCTCAGGAATGGACACTGGTACCTGGACAAACCAAACAGTGAGTGAATGGGAGGTATACCTGTATCTCTGTGTTGTCTGCAATACATAACCCACACAGAACACAAACATTCCTTCGATGGTTCTCCTTTTTCAGTCCATGCCATGTCGCTCACAAATGCTTGGGTGTATACATATCTACAACATCATGGCACAACCCTCATCTTTTGGCATTTGTCATTCCCCGATTACATTCGTTTTTGAGAATTCAGAAGCCTCAGTGCTCACAAGCAACAAAATCTTATCGGAAAACAATATCTGATTTTTAATCTGTTGTTAGTACAAAACAGAAGAAAATCGGGAAGCCATTTTGGTGAGTTGATGTATGCATGAACTTGATGATCAAAACTCACCTCTAAATAACAACTGTGATACTTGGTGTACTTACTTGCCCTCAATGATGTCGAACTGGCCATCACAGATGGGGAAGACCCCCCAGGAGATAACCCGGTCAGTGGGGACAACTGACCCCCGCAACAGGAACAGCTCAAACACCAGCGCCATCCCTGGCCTCAGTGAAGGCTTGGAGGGCAGCACAGTGAACACGCTTTGGTCAATCTGAACAGCAGGAGGATTTAATCAACATAGGAGATTTCTTACAAAAAATATAAACTTTTAATATCCAGTACAGAATTTCTGCATGTACATATTTATATTAACAGTTAAAAATTTGTGTAAATGGTTTATTTACTCACAAATATATATGTCATCCATAGAGAAACAGAATTTCAATATATAAATATTAAATAAATAAAAATATTTTAACAATTAAAAAACAACTTCAATTTATAAGACCTTATATTCCTAGAGAATAACAGAAAATAAGAACAAAAAATATGTCCATCTGATAGCAGAGTGGGCTCAAATGACCTTATATGAAAATATGAACTGATCAATTTCAATAAAGAAAATTCAACATGCTAAAAACTTTCCTATTTTTTAAAGTTGAACTTTAAGACTTTCATTTGTTGCACAGGTTATTGGTAACATTATTTTCTTCCATGTGTACTAATTACTGTCTTTCCTCTGGAGTTTGTGTTTCCTCTAAATACTTTGTTTCCTCTGATGATTGTGTTTTATCCAAAGATTCTGTTATCATCTCAATATTCAATTTTATCGAAAACGTAATCAACGCATCATGAACACCCTGTTGAGGTGGTCAGTAGTCTGTCTCCCAGACCTTAGAGAATAAATAAAAACATGAATCCAACTCAAGTCTAGAATGATTGTCTAGATTGCCTCAGCTCTAGGAAATTAAGCATTGGATTTAGCTTCATTTGGATTTTATTTTCTATTTTGTAGATTTATATTTCTAAATAAGATGATTGTTTTTCTGGGACTAAATGTGAGTCTTAACTGAAATCCTTACTGACAGAAGACATACCTTCATCTCAACATTGTGGAAGTTTCCCTCGTGGAAGATCGGGAGCGAGGCCCCACCCCACTGCTGTCCCTTCATCTTTGACCAGCGGAGAGAGTGACCACCCATGCGGTTGTACAGTGACACCATCAGGACGTAGCGGCCAGCTGAAGCAGCACAATCACCCCATGTCACCAAACCCTCACAACATATCTACTTCCATACTGTATTCAGGTGTATTAACAATAAAGAACAACAACTGTGTATGTGAATGTTGTTCATCGTGGCAATCAGCATTATTCCAGCTAATCACGCCAGGCTGTAAATAATCAAGTTTGGACCAGGAAACCAGTGACTGAAAGCATGAGCAACTATCCACACCATCAGGGAATATGACGTGCAATCTGTCAAGTCATAAAGCCTGACCTACTGGACCATGTCAGTAGACTCTCGGGACAAGCAAAGACGTGTTGATGTACTGGGGACCAATTCCACCCCTGAGTCCCCACAGTACAAGAAAACCAAGATGGCTGCCTCACCTGGCAGTTTGTCCTTGACCCCTCGCAGACACTTAAGTTTGATCTGTATTGGCTGTGGTGTGTTGTTCCAGTCCACCTTCCATCGCCGGCCTCGGCTTCCTCCGTACTGACCATCGGCCAACATCAGGTCACCATAGAATGTCTACAATGTTCACCGGGAAGAATGTCATATCCAATTTGAGACAAATCAAATCAACGGGGATACAATATTTTTAAACTTACTTTAGCAAATTATGCAAGAAAAGTAGATTCCAAACTGGTGAAGTATTGAGAAGAAATCAGTGAAGGACGAATCAAGCTTGAAGTAGACAAATATGGTTTCCGGCTCACCCTCACTTCTCCCTTCCTGTCCTCCAGGCGGCTGATGAGCTGACTCTCCGAACGGCGGAAGGCCTTGTGGAGCCGATCCAGCAGCAGCTTCTCCCTCTGCTTCATCAACTCCTGCATCATCACATATATCAGTACATCATCACACATCAGTACATCATCGCACATCAGTACATCATCACACACATAAGTACATCATCGCACATCAGTACATCATCACACACATAAGTACATCATCACACAGCAGTTCATCATCACACACATGAGTACATCATCACACACCAGTTCATCATCAAACACATGAGTACATCATCACACACCAGTTCATCATCACACACATAAGTACATCATCAAAAACATCAGTACATCATCACACATCAGTTCATCGTCAGACATCAGTTCATCATCACACACAAGTTCATCATCACACAGAGAGTACATCATCACACATATGAGTACATCATCACACACATGAGTACATCATCACACACCAGTTCATCATCATCCCACATCAGTTCATCATCACACACATCAGTTCATCATCACACACATCAGTACATCATCACACCTCAGTAAATCATCACACCTCAGTACATCACACACCTCAGTACATCATCACACACATCAGTACATCATCACACACATCAGTACATCAACATACATCAGTGCATCTAATCTACAAGACATCATACTGACCTCTCTGCGTGCAATGTCCTCTCTCTTCTCCTTGGTAACCTTGGCGACCCGAGTCTTGGCCTCCTCCTCCCTATGTAGCAGCTTCTCCTGCTGTTTGCGTGCCCGCAGCGCCTCCTGCTCCAGGTACCGCACGTGCTCGTCCCGGAGCCGCCGCTCCTCCTCCTGCACCTCCTCTAGGGAGATGGAGCCCAGCATCACCACGTCATCACGGACCTCGTCCTCAAACTGACGCAGGTACGGATCCACCTCACCCTTCTCCATCTCCAGACGAAGCTCTGAAATATAAATGAGACATAGTACAATACCACAGTTAGGAACAAAACTGGACATACAGGAGCTGGGTGGCTCCCAGAATGTGAGTGCAATAGTGAATGTTTTAAGCCGCAGTCAGCAATAATCCAGCTGTAGCCAAACCAACCAAACAAGTGGCTGATAGCATGAGCAACAATCCATGTTGTCAGGGCGCAATTTTTCACAGTCTCACAGGTCAAACACTATCACCACACAATCCTACTTTCAGAGCTCTTAGGGGCAGCGGGGTAGCCTAGTGCTTTAAGTGTTCGCCGAAGACCCCACGTGGGTACAATGTGTAAAGTCCATTTCTGGTGTCCCTCGCCATGATATTGCTAGAATATTGCTAAAAGCGCCATAAAACCATACTCACTCACTCACTCAATCACTACTCAGCTCTTATGTCATACATGATTTACTGGGGACCTACAGATGCAAGATTAGTGTTTAAAAAGTGGCCTATGTTTTATAAATAGTGTACTTCAATATCAATACTTCATGATGTTGTACTTACTGTTTTCTATTAGGAACTTTCAGGAGCTTGTGGTGTAACAAGACCATGGAGTACCGGCAGTGATGACGGTCACCAACACACCGTGGGCTTGCAGTGTAACAAGACCATGGAGTACCGGCAGTGATGACCGTCACCAACACACCTTGGGCTTGTAGTGTAACAAGACCATGGAGTACCGGCAGTGATGACAGCCACCAACACACCTTGGGCTTGTAGTGTAACAAGACCATGGAGTACCGGCAGTGATGACCGTCACCAACACACCTTGAGCTTGTAGTGTAACAAGACCATGGAGTATCGGCAGTGATGACGGTCACCAACCCACCGTGGGCTTGTAGTGTAACAAGACCATGGAGTACCGGCAGTGATGACGGTCACCAACCCACCGTGGGCTTGCAGAGTAACAAGACCATGGAGTACCGGCAGTGATGACCGTCACCAACACACCTTGGGCTTGTAGTGTAACAAGACCATGGAGTACCGGCAGTGATGACCGTCACCAACACACCGTGGGCTTGCAGTGTAACAAGACCATGGAGTACCGGCAGTGATGACCGTCACCAACACACCTTGGGCTTGTAGTGTAACAAGACCATGGAGTACCGGCAGTGATGACGGTCACCAACACACCGTGGGCTTGCAGTGTAACAAGACCATGGAGTACCGGCAGTGATGACCGTCACCAACACACCTTGGGCTTGTAGTGTAACAAGACCATGGAGTACCGGCAGTGATGACAGCCACCAACACACCTTGGGCTTGTAGTGTAACAAGACCATGGAGTACCGGCAGTGATGACCGTCACCAACACACCTTGGGCTTGTAGTGTAACAAGACCATGGAGTACCGGCAGTGATGACGGTCACCAACCCACCGTGGGCTTGTAGTGTAACAAGACCATGGAGTACCGGCAGTGATGACCGTCACCAACACACCTTGGGTTTGTAGTGTAACAAGACCATGGAGTACCGGCAGTGATGACCGTCACCAACACACCGTGGGCTTGCAGTGTAACAAGACCATGGAGTACCGGCAGTGATGACCGTCACCAACACACCGTGGGCTTGTAGTGTAACAAGACCATGGAGTACCGGCAGTGATGACCGTCACCAACACACCTTGGGCTGGTGGTGTAACAAGACCATGGAGTACCCGCAGTGATGACCGTCACCAACACACCGTGGGCTTGTAGTGTAACAAGACCATGGAGTACCGGCAGTGATGACGGTCACCAACCCACCGTGGGCTTGTAGTGTAACAAGACCATGGAGTACCGACAGTGATGACCGTCACCAACACACCGTGGGCTTGTAGTGTAACAAGACCATGGAGTACCGACAGTGATGACGGTCACCAACACACCTTGGGCTGGTGGTGTAACAAGACCATGGAGTACCGGCAGTGATGACCGTCACCAACACACCGTGGGCTTGTAGTGTAACAAGACCATGGAGTACCGGCAGTGATGACCGTCACCAACACACCGTGGGCTTGTAGTGTAACAAGACCATGGAGTACCGACAGTGATGACGGTCACCAAGACACCTTGGCTGTACGTGTGCTGAAACTCACTCACTAGTCTTACGGGGCTCTGAAATAGATTATTATGTCTTTTCAACATCTCACCTGATATTTTCTCATAGTTAGGGATGTGCTCTGGTCTGATGAACAAGTTAGGTGGTTGTCGTTTTGTCTCGAGCTCTGTGTCCCCATTCTCCAGAGTGTCCATGAGGTTGTACAGATCAGGGAGAGTATCATCCTCAGGGAGTGGCTCTGTAACACAAGATACATATGAGGGAGAGTTTCATCCTCTGGGAGTGGCTCTGTAACACAAGATACAGATCAGGGAGAGTATCATCCTCAGGGAGTGGCTCTGTAACACAAGATACAAATCAGGGAGGGTATCATCCTCTAGGAGTGGCTCTGTAACACAAGATACAGATCAGGGAGGGTATCATCCTCTAGGAGTGGCTCTGTAACACAAGATACAGATCAGGGAGAGTATCATCCTCAGGGAGTGGCTCTGTAACACAAGATACAGATCAGGGAGAGTCTCATCCTCAGGGAGTGGCTCTGTAACATCCTCAGGGAGTGGCTCTGTAACACAAGATACAAATCAGGGAGAGTATCATCCTCAGGGAGTGGCTCTGTAACACAAGATACAGATCAGGGAGGGTATCATCCTCAGGGAGTGGCTCTGTAACACAAGATACATATGAGGGAGATTATCATCCTCAGGGAGTGGCTCTGTTACACAAGATACATATGAGGGAGATTATCATCCTCAGGGAGTGGCTCTGTAACACAAGATACAAATCAGGGAGAGTATCATCCTCAGGGAGTGGCTCTGTAACACAAGATACAAATCAGGGAGAGTTTCATCCTCAGGGAGTGGCTCTGTAACACAAGATACAAATCAGGGAGAGTATCATCCTCAGGGAGTGGCTCTGTAATACAAGATACATATGAGGGAGATTATCATCCTCAGGGAGTGGCTCTGTAACACAAGATACATATGAGGGAGAGTCTCATCCTCAGGGAGTGGCTCTGTAACACAAGATACATATGAGGGAGAGTTTCATCCTCTAGGAGTGGCTCTGTAACACAAGATACATTTGAGGGAGGGTATCATCCTCTGGGAGTGGCTCTGTAACACAAGATACAGATCAGGGAGAGTATCATCCTCAGGGAGTGGCTCTGTAACACAAGATACATATGAGGGAGAGTTTCATCCTCAGGGAGTGGCTCTGTAACACAAGATACAGATCAGGGAGGGTATCATCCTCAGGGAGTGGCTCTGTAACACAAGATACATATGAGGGAGATTATCATCCTCAGGGAGTGGCTCTGTAACACAAGATACATATGAGGGAGAGTTTCATCCTCAGGGAGTGGCTCTGTAACACAAGATACAAATCAGGGAGAGTATCATCCTCAGGGAGTGGCTCTGTAACACAAGATACAGATCAGGGAGGGTATCATCCTCAGGGAGTGGCTCTGTAACACAAGATACAAATCAGGGAGAGTATCATCCTCAGGGAGTGGCTCTGTAACACAAGATACATATGAGGGAGATTATCATCCTCAGGGAGTGGCTCTGTAACACAAGATACATATGAGGGAGAGTATCATCCTCAGGGAGTGGCTCTGTAACACAAGATACAGATCAGGGAGGGTATCATCCTCTGGGAGTGGCTCTGTAACACAAGATACAGATCAGGGAGAGTATCATCCTCTGGGAGTGGCTCTGTAACACAAGATACATTTGAGGGAGAGTATCATCCTCTAGGAGTGGCTCTGTAACACAAGATACATATCAGGGAGGGTATCATCCTCAGGGAGTGGCTCTGTAACACAAGATACATTTGAGGGAGAGTATCATCCTCTAGGAGTGGCTCTGTAACACAAGATACATATCAGGGAGGGTATCATCCTCAGGGAGTGGCTCTGTAACACAAGATACAAATCAGGGAGAGTATCATCCTCTGGGAGTGGCTCTGTAACACAAGATACATATCAGGGAGAGTATCATCCTCTGGGAGTGGCTCTGTAACACAAGATACAGATCAGGGAGAGTATCATCCTCTGGGAGTGGCTCTGTAACATAAGATACAGATCAGGGAGAGTATCATCCTCTAGGAGTGGCTCTGTAACACAAGATATATATCAGGGAGAGTATCATCCTCAGGGAGTGGCTCTGTAACACAAGATACATTTGAGGGAGGGTATCATCCTCAGGGAGTGGCTCTGTAACACAAGATACATATCAGGGAGAGTATCATCCTCTGGGAGTGGCTCTGTAACACAAGATACAAATCAGGGAGAGTATCATCCTCTAGGAGTGGCTCTGTAACACAAGATACATATCAGGGAGAGTATCATCCTCTAGGAGTGGCTCTGTAACACAAGATACAAATCAGGGAGAGTATCATCCTCAGGGAGTGGCTCTGTAACACAAGATACAGATCAGGGAGAGTATCATCCTCTAGGAGTGGCTCTGTAACACAAGATACATATCAGGGAGAGTATCATCCTCTGGGAGTGGCTCTGTAACACAAGATACATATGAGGGAGAGTATCATCCTCAGGGAGTGTAGGAGATGTTACACCAAATACAACGTCGTGTAGGAGATGTTACACAAATACAATGTCGTGTAGGAGATGTTACACAAATACAATGTCGTGTAGAAGATGTTACACCAAATACAATGTCATGTAGAAGATGTTACACCAAATACAATGTCGTGTAGAAGATGTTACACCAAATACAGTGTCGTGTAGAAGATGTTACACCAAATACAATGTCGTGTAGGAGATGTTACACAAATACAATGTCATGTAGGAGATGTTACACCAAATACAATGTCGTGTAGAAGATGTTACACCAAATACAATGTCGTGTAGATGTTACACCAAAAACAATGTCGTGTAGAAGAGGTTACACCAAATACAATGTCGTGTAGAAGATGTTACACCAAATACAATGTTGGGAAGGAGTTATTACACCAAATACAATGTCGTGTAGGAGATGTTACACCAAATACAATGTCGTGTAGGAGATGTTACACCAAATACAATGTCGTGTAGGAGATGTTACACCAAATACAATGTCGTGTAGAAGATGTTACACCAAATACAATGTTGTGTAGGAGATGTTACATAAATACAACGTCGTGTAGGAGATGTTACACAAATACAATGTTGTGTAGGAGATGTTACACAAATACAATGTCGTGTAGAAGATGTTACACCAAATACAATGTCATGTAGAAGATGTTACACCAAATACAATGTCGTGTAGAAGATGTTACACCAAATACAGTGTCGTGTAGAAGATGTTACACCAAAAACAATGTCGTGTAGGAGATGTTACACAAATACAATGTCGTGTAGAAGATGTTACACCAAATACAATGTCATGTAGAAGATGTTACACCAAATACAATGTCGTGTAGAAGATGTTACACCAAATACAGTGTCGTGTAGAAGATGTTACACCAAAAACAATGTCGTGTAGGAGATGTTACACAAATACAATGTCATGTAGGAGATGTTACACCAAATACAATGTCGTGTAGAAGATGTTACACCAAATACAATGTCGTGTAGATGTTACACCAAAAACAATGTCGTGTAGAAGATGTTACACCAAATACAATGTCGTGTAGAAGATGTTACACCAAATACAATGTCGTGTAGAAGATGTTACACCAAATACAATGTAGTGTAGGAGATGTTACACAAATACAATGTCGTGTAGGAGATGTTACACAAATACAATGTCGTGTAGAAGATGTTACATCAAATACAATGTCGTGTAGAAGATGTTACACCAAATACAATGTCGTGTAGGAGATGTGTCACCAAATACAATGTCATGTAGAAGATGTTACACAAATACAATGTCGTGTAGGAGATGTTACACCAAATACAATGTCATGTAGGAGAAGTTACACAAATACAATGTCGTGTAGGAGATGTTACACCAAATACAATGTCGTGTAGGAGATGTTACACAAATACAATGTCATGTAGGAGATGTTACACCAAATACAATGTCGTGTAGAAGATGTTACACCAAATACAATGTCATGTAGGAGATGTTACACCAAATACAATGCTGTGTAGGAGATGTTACACCAAATACAATGTTGTGTAGGAGATGTTACACCAAATACAATGTTGTGTAGGAGATGTTACACAAATACAATGTCGTGTAGGAGATGTTACACCAAATACAATGTCGTGTAGGAGATGTTACACCAAATACAATGTCGTGTAGGAGATGTTACACCAAATACAATGTCGTGTAGAAGATGTTACACCAAATACAATGCTGTGTAGGAGATGTTACACCAAATACAATGTCGTGTAGGAGATGTTACACCAAATACAATGTCGTGTAGGAGATGTTACACCAAATACAATGTAGTGTAGGAGATGTTACACAAATACAATGTTGTGTAGGAGACGTTACACCAAATACAATGTTGTGTAGGAGATGTTACACAAATACAATGTCGTGTAGGATATGTTACACCAAATACAATACTGTGTAGAAGATGTTACACCAAATACAATGTCATGTAAGAGATGTTACACAAATACAATGTCATGTAAGAGATGTTACACAAATACAATGTCGTGTAGGAGTTGTAACATATTACAAGCAGCATTATTCCCAAGTAACTTTTTAGCTCACCAAATGTGAATTCTTCATCTTCAAAGTCAATTCCATAGTCCTTGGGGTCAACTTCAACCATCTCTGTGGTTTCTGTTTCCTTCCTCTGAAACAGGAAAGAATAAGTCACCTAATATAGACTACCATTGAAAATACAAGAGTAATTCCTCATCTTGACGACATTACAGAATAGTAGATAACATTTTACATTAAAAAGTCTTGATGTCCACAATCACAAAATCACAAAACATAAAACAAAAATGATTTGGGCCCTGTATCACAAGATGATCTTAGCTCTAGGGAAAGGCAATGCTAAGGCATGGTGTTCACCATCTTTATGCACTTTGTGGAATGGAGCCCTGGAATGAACATCATAAAATATTTACAAGAGGAGATGAACTATCATAACGTGAACTTATTCAAAATGTCAAAATTGGTACTAAGATACTATTGTAGCAAATAAAAAGAGACGGTCATAATTATGAGAAAAAGGCACATGAGTTTGCTTTCCAGTTTTATGAATAACTCTCCAAAGAATAATGCTTACGAATCGATAAAAATACTGTTTCATTGAAAGTTTGTTTTCTTGGCAAACAGTTTTGCTTGAAGTTTTGATAACACTGTTATCATATGCATGCTTATATGAATCCTGACAACATTTGTCTTCTTTTGCCACCTGCCTCCTGGCACACCAGGAAACTCTGCCAAACAAGATGCTCTGTTTCTAAACATCACAACCTTTAGTGAAAGTAGATCATGTGTCAGTTATGAAAATAACTAAATGTTTTACTTATTCAATGGACCCATGGAGATATGGGTTAGAATTGTCATCAGCAACCCATGCTTGTCGTGGGTAAGTGAGTGAGTGAGTAATTTTTGCTTAACGCCGCATCAGCAATCTTGCAACTATACTTGTCGTAAGAGGCGTCTAACGGGATCGGGTGGTCAGGTATGTTGACTTGGTTGATGCATGTCTTTGTATCCCAATTGTGTAGATCAATGTTAATGACATAAATCACTAAATTGTCTGGACTATACTTGATTATTTACAGACTGCCATCATATAGCGGTAATATTGCTGAATACAGCATTAAACAACAAACTTAATCAGTGGCAAGGTTCAACAGTAGGGTAAAGCAATATACTCACTGTTTCAGTAATTGTGATGACTGTTTCTTCACCAGTAGCCTCCCCTGATTCTTCCAGCCCAGCCTCTAGCTGGGGGAATGTCTCTTTTTCCATAATCTGAAAATTACAAAATGTTTTACAGTAATCTGTGAACATGGTGAAAGACACCTCTTTAACAAAAAGCAATAAAAAATGTACAAAGAGACAAATAACTTGCCTCAACGTTAAACTTCTTCCAAAGGAGCCATTGGCTTCCAACAATTGTTTACAGGGAACCAATGTGAAATTCAAGAAGTCAGGTGAAAAATTAAGGAGCCAAACTTCAAGTTGGTTGGTTGGTTGGTTGTTTAACGCAGCACTCAGCAATATTCCAGATATAGGCCGTACAAAACACCCACCCTAAAAGTTTCAAATGTGTCCATGGAAACGGCAAAAATTAAAAAATGAAGAATCTTCAAACTAGCAAAAGGCACAAGTACTCATTGTGGTTAATGTGTGGAGAAAGTTTGGTGAAGCTAGGGTGCATACGGTATATGACGGCGGTCTGTAAATAATCGAGGCTGGACCAGACAATCCAGGGATTGGTATCATGAGCATCGACCCACACAATTGGGATCGATGACCTGCATCAACCAAGTCAGCAAGTCTGACCTCCCAATCCCGTTAGTCGCCTCTTACAACAAGCATAGTTGCCTTTCATGGCAATGATGGGTTGCTGAAGACTTATTCTACCCCGGATCTTCATGGGTATCACCTCAAGATTATAGTCAGTACTGTATAATATTGTCTAAACATATCTAATCTGCCTAACTGTATCAATACCAATTCCTACCTTTGGCATGACAAGCATTGTTGTTGTAAGTATACTTGACAAGATTATTGATCAATTTTTACCTCACAATTTCCATGTTGATTTTTAGTCGATAACTATTGATTAATGAATTGTATTTCTGTCTCTAATATTAAACAGTTACTAATATCAGGTCGTCTGCTTGATTTTTCCACTTAGCAAAGTGGTGACTGCTTAAAAAGTTATTGGTTGCCAAGTGGAAATTTCAATCGCCATGGTGACCAAATTAGTTGCAACTTTGAAGGCTGCAATACCAATCAGTGGTTATTCATTGTTTGATTTATCAAATGTTCTTCATTAAAATTTACATGACATATACCATATTACCTCTAATAAACATGGAACTGAAAAAGAAGTCACACAAAAGCCAAATTGAAAGAATTGAGACTGAATCTCATTTATACTCTGTATCATACAAATGAACCCCATTTAGAAACCATATAATATATTGTCCCTAACGTATGGCGATAAATATTTTGAGGGCTTATTGTCACCAAGTCCTTTCAGACAAAGTATATTGCTTTGGGTTTTGCCCTGTTTCTTTACTGAAATTATTAAAATAAGGTCTGGCGTGGTACCACATTGAACAATCAACAAGCAGCCAGTGACAATAACTTTGACAGCACTGACATTAAAACAAGCAGAACAGAGTTGGGAATAGTCTTGTAAAGATGTGAATCATGTAGGGTTGTTTTTAAAATAAAATAAAAAATACGGCCATAACGTTTTTTAAATATTCAAATGATAAAACATTATTTGAAGTCTTATCTCAGAACATGTACTGGTGTCATCTTAAAATATTTTGAACAATTTGACATCAAAAAGTGATTTTTGAAATATCTTGACTTCCTTTTCTATAATTCAAAAACCTTACAAAAGTTCCCCCCAAATTGTGTATTGTCATACATAATATCTCCATAACAAAATCGACGCAAACGTACACTCTGTGTGTGTGTGGGGGTGTGTGTGTGGGGTGTGGGGGTGTGTGTGTGTGTGTGTGTGTGTGTGTGTGTGAGTGAGCGTGACCTTGATGTATCATGTCACCTCATTTATAATGTTATGTCTTGTTTGTTTAAATTGCCTTTTTCAACATGGCAGGGATCAATGTTTGCCAGGTATCAAGTCTCAAGATTCAAAAGTAATTACTGTAACTGGTAGGCATAGTGCGTGCTGAAAGTATTGATATTACTGAGATACACTGCTGACTTGGACCAATGCCAGCACTGAGAGGTATGTACTCAGTGTCCCAAATGTGATTACTTTATACATGTTGCTGGGCCACTTAGTAATTATCAATACTCAGAAATGGATAATTAAGTGAAACATTCTTGTAATCATACTGCGCTGTGATAGCGGACTTTCTTTAAATTACGAGATTGTTGTCAGAAAGTTAAGGCTTATTACGCACAGATATTATTGAGTAGTGCCTTATGACAATGATAGTTAAAGACAACAAGGGTAGTCTCTGTGAGCATGGTGACTCATTATGATTCTAAAATTGACTTAAGGAGGACAAAATATATTTTCTTTAATAAATCTGAATACAAGTGCATTCAAAATAATTAAAACAAGAAGGCAAAGCTGTCAATATCAACCCGACCCATTTAGCTGCCTATCAAAACGTGACCTATTTTAATCCACAATCCATGCAGGGTTGTATGATATATGATATCAGATGTGCTTACAAAGTCAGATCAATAAATATTCAATGGTTTATCAATTATGCTCCACAATATGAAACCCTAGTAGCTTTGACAGGGGATAATAATGCAATAATGCCAGAGCATTGAAAAAACTTGTCCATAAAAATTATCAACAACATCTCAGAAGAGTTACATAGCAATAAATAGGGGTGTCACGATAAATCGAAAAATATCAATATATTGCTATTAAAGTAAAAAAATCAGTTTCTGATCAATAGTATCAATTTCAGTTAGGAATATCGATAGTTTCAATTGTATATACCATATCAATAAAATACATGCAATGCTGTTCAAATTTGTTTTTCTTTTGATCATGAGTAGTAGTAATGTACACATGGTAATGTGGAAGTTTCTTTCTCTTAAATTATTAGGGTAAAGAAAAAACAAATCAGTCATACCTCAAACTTCAAAGGGAACTTCAGTTCCAAGGTTTAATTCAACTCTAAAATCCATCTAAATGGATACACTAAAAACTATCGATATTTATCGCAATAGTTGCTTGCAATATCAATAGTTATCGCAATAGTTTCTTTCAATATCAATAGTTATCGCAATAGTGATTTCCAGACCAATAGTCACCCCTAGAAATAAACACAAATACCTGTACACAGCCAATACAATTTTCTTATTACATGACCTACTGTGAAAAATGAACAATATTTTACACATGTAAATTTAGAAGGAAATGTTTGAATGCTAAAACCAAATTAAATCCACCGTATTGACTGAATCGATAATCAATTTAACAGTGTTACACTTATCAGACACTGATTCCAACATACATATTCAATTCCATAATGAATAAAGATATTTCTACCTATTTAGTATTTCAGTTTATAGTATTTAACATACCTGTTTAAGTTAATTGTACATTTGAATCATTCTTTTTTATCACACACTTATATAACACAACAAAGCCTCATAGACACAGTCATGTTGGAAGTACATAATAGCCATTTCTGACAATACAATGGCCACATCTGTCACAGATAGCGTACATGATGAATAAATGTCTCCTATTTATTGCATTATTTGTTGTTTATTATTTGCATATCACTTCAAGCATAAGCGTTTCTATTCTTTAACAGTTCGTTTATGAAATACATTATCCTAAATTGATGTAGTTCATGTTATGAAAACTTAATTACCTTTTTCACGGTGACAAAAATCATGAAAACAAATTTCACATTCCCAACATATGATATCTTACACTTATTTATATATTATGAAGATTTTCATCATTGTTCATCCCGGCAATAACAATAATGTAGAAATATTTAATGATGAATAAATATTTTATTGCATTAGTTAAAAAAAAGTACCGTTATCGTTAAAAAGGCGACATGTAATAAATATTTAATAACATTTAGAGTGAAATGGGCCGTTAGACTATGAGCGTTGTAACAAAACGATATGGCACAGCAAATTTCACTATTTCTATTTTGTTGACATGACCCGGATTTCTCAGCTCGATTCTTGGCCTACTCAGGCTACTGCCCCGTACTGTACAAATACTGTTATAAATAATACGCATTTGTTAGCCGTTAGAAATTAAGTTTACCACAAAGAGCACTCTGTATGTGTTTTTACTTACTCAAGCTTATCACCGGGTACGCCTCAAAAGAATGTTGGTCCCTGAAAGTTGTAGTCGCTCTGTAACTCCACGACAAGGAAACTCCATTCAAGCGACTGTCGCCATTTTCAAACACTTTCCATGGTGATATGGTGACGTCATCATATTGTCCATGGGAGGTTACTCGAAACAGGTGCGCGTAAAAAGAATTGAAAGAAGCACAAGTAAAATATACATATCATGTTCGTGGGTTTACTCCGACCGGTATAATTATGATTTTAACGGATCCCTATTTATTTTTGTGTTTCTCCCGCCACCTGCAAATTTCCCTCCCGTCGAAAGAATACAATTGTTTTTTTCAAATCCTGAATTATCCGCCGCCCATCTATGTCGCTGCTTGAAAGAAGTATCACGTTTCACAATAGTTTGAAAACTACGGTCGTATATATAATGACAGTATGCGTTCTAAAAGCGTTCTTGAAAATCTTTGCTTCTTTTATTTCTATAGTGCGATATAGGATTCGCCTTCTGTATGGTTCATATACAAAGCGCTAGGCTGTGTCTATGTTTGAGAAAGTACATGGCATGAAAACCTGCGACGATTGCAATCACACAGACGTGCCCCTCTGTTATTTGTCAAGTCCGAGGTTGGTCCTGCCTTGGTCGTTAAAGTAGACATAATGAGTTACTACCATTTTAGAAAAACCCCTGACTACTACCTTTGCTGATTCTCTCAGCGATGAGAGTTAAGTGACTTTGTAAAAGAAAAAGCTTGACTCCAATCAACACAGCCTTCAAGCTTCCGTTTATCACGCCAAGTTCTCTTGCTATAAGCCAATGTGGTACCATTTACAGGGCTTCCATGTTTTAGTACATATACTTTGTCACACCTATGCGTGCTTCGATCTGCTGTCTTATTTCAAGAAGATTTAAGACATTCTGATTCATCTATAATATTTGCAGTAACCAAAGCTATAATATTAAAAAGTTCTGGATTTTTTTGTGACATCTGTGAGATGTATTTTTACTGAGCTGACAGTAGCTGTCTTATTTTCGTCCAGCTGTAAAAATCGAAAACAAACATTTGATAATATATCCCTGTAAAAATAGTGTAGGAATTAATAGTACGAATGCTTTAAAAATGAAATCTGCTTCATTAAGGAAATGATATTTTGCATTTCTTTGTTGTAAAACTTATACTTTACCAGATCAGGTCATTGGTCATTCTAACTTAATGATTAAGAAACATGTCTAAGAAACTATCTAGATCTATACAAGTGTAGAGAGTGTTTCACTTGTTCGTAAATTTACAATATAGTATCCGGTTCCATTTTGCCCGAGACTGCATGTCAGAAGAAAGGTTTTTTTTTTAAAATTAAGGTTACTTTAGAACCGATTCGAACCTGTGTTTTATCTTTCATGACTTGAAATAGGTCAGTGGTAAGAATGATTTTTAATTACAATATGACTTTATGATGATGGTTTGTTTGGGTTTTTTCATGTGCCTTACTTTTTTTTTATCCTTTTCCATGTGTTTAAATTGTTGTTGTCGGGTTAAGCTTGCTCTCATATGATTATGTTTTAATTGTCAAATATTTGGTATAGATAGCCAAAGCCTTGAATAGGTATTCTGCAAAAAGGAGCCTACTTTTTGTCTCTCTTTTTCCGGCCGCCCGCACCCCTCAGGAAATAACCTGGAGGTGAGAAACACAAAAAATAAGTAAAGACGCCTTTACTGCTACAAACTGCATGGCTTCAGGTAAATCCTAAATCTACGGCATGTCGTCTGCGCATTGCTTACCATTATAAAAATAGAGACCGCCGCCAAGTTTTGATCTAATTTGATATGGGTCATGGCCAAAATGATTTGGTGTAAATCTGTAACTATGATATTCACTATGCCATAATGTATTCTGAAAGATTGAACTTATTTGCAAAACGTCATCAATAGGCTTAGGATATTTCCGCTAGGTCTGTTTGTGTTACATAAAATGCCGTCGATTGATCTCAGTATCTCAAATAATGAACAATGAATCAAGTTAGGAGTAAACTCGAGACGTATGTATAAACGTCGTTGAAAGATTATTCCGCCAGCGCGATGTGTAGGCGGCAAGCCATGTCGCGCCAAATTCAGTTAATGGTGTAAGGGAGATAATCGTGTTGTGATATGCTAATAATAAATAAGAGTAAAGTCCCTTGTATAAGCTCCATTCAGTGTTAACTAAAACTCCCCACATCGTGTGCAATTTTCCGAGTTATATAGGGAATTTAATCTCCTCACAGCAATAGCCCGTTCACGCACTGACAAGAGCTTAGAATTTTCTGGTTATCTCCCTTGTCACAAGGTCGAATCAAGCTCCTCACAGCGATAGTACGTTCCCGGAGCTCTCTATACTATCGCTGCCACCAGTCAAAACTCCCCACTGTGAATATGTGGCCACAACCATGCTTGGAGTTGAACTCGCAACCGAATGACCGTTTTGTTTACAAACAAGTGACGACTGTCGTGACGCCGAATACACTTATAGCTGCTAAATTACTTTCTTCGTTTGTCAATTTGAATTTCTGTTTCATTACAACTATCGTGTTATTGATATAGTAAGAATGTAAGGGAGAAGTTAATTGGTTTTCCGTTAGTCTGCAATCTCGAACCAATCTGATTATCAAAACAACAAAGTAAATTCATCTGGAAAACATGGTCAGTCGTAAACCTTTTCAAATTGAAATATGATGGCATTCCCAAAGACATAAACAAAAGTATAAACGTTACTACATTTGGGGTTAGAGGGCAAATTTCAAGATTCTTGTAATGGCCGCGCCCACACTGGTGGCAGCGATGTTACCGAGAGTGTAACGAAGGTGTCACGCGCTGGGAAGGAGCTTGAAGGTCGAATTACATCATTACTTAGTTCGGACATGCGCATAGCACACATATCGTTTCTTAACACAGTTACTTCCCTTTGATAAAGCACAGCGCAGTGTGAAGTTTTCATGCAGACACTGAATGGAGCTTGTACAAGGGACGTAACTCCGTTTGAAGTAAACTGGTTCCACTGTTGGTACGCGAAGCAACATTATCGCCATTAGCTAGACTGGAGCACAGTCTAGATACCAAGCTGAATTACTTCCCTTTGACCACAAACTTTACCGCATGGAATAAAAATCGATTGAATTGTCTCCCTTTGACCATGACAAAACAAGCTCCTTCCCATGGAGTCTGTCACACAGAAAGAAAGAAATATATCGATAATGGCCCATGCAAGTCTATAATGTTCGGCAAGTTTCTGCAGTATCTGAAAATGAAGAAAGTCTCATGGCTGTTTTTTATTATATTTTATGACTATAATTTGACTGTTTTTTTCTTAAGAATATGTTCATTTAGGAGACTAGATGTTAGTCTCTGTCAACGCGTGACACATTCGTTACACTCTCGGTAACATCGCTGACATCAGTGTGGAAGAGGTCATGGGCGGATACAGAGGGGGGTGCGGGGGTGCCTAGTATAAATATACATATATCCATTTACATATAAATCCACACATACAGACACATAGACATAGTCGCATATACATACACATACATTTGCAATGGTTTCTGTTGATCAATACGACCATAAAAAAATAAAAATAAAATTAATACCTATAACAGGTCAAGGTTCCAGGCTCAGAGTTAACCCCTTCATAATATTTGACTCCTGATCTGCAGTTTGGATTAACCTCATTGAAACCTTATTGACAGGTAACATAATCAAATTTCTGCTTGTGAAATTTGAAACTGGCCAGTACCTTTTAGGCTAGTTCCTGGCCAGCAATAGTTTGAGACTATTTCACACTCTGTATGTATGTAGTGAATATATTGCATTTACAGAAGAGAAATATTCTTATGATAGAGATATATGATTGTTTGTTTTTTAAAACCCTAGTCAGCTATATTCCAGGTATATGATGGCAGCCGGTAAATGTTAACGTCTTTACTCAACAGTCCATTGATTGTTATTGTGAGCAACGATCCATCACGACACCAGGGTATGATGAGAATCACCGAGCCTGACCTCCCGATCCAGTTGGTCAGCTCTTACAGGACCAATTCTAACCTGGAGTGAGTGAGTGTGTCACTGAGTGAGTGAGTGAGTGAGTGAGTGAGTATGGTTTTACGTCGCTTTTAGCAATATTCCAGCAATATCATGGCAGGGGATACCAGAAATGGGCTTCACACATAGTACCCATGTCGGGAATAATTCTAACCTGGAACCTATAAGATCACCAAGGTAGACACAAACACATCATATGGAGATGCCCTGAAGCTGAGTCTCTGTATCAGCAGCAGGATGGCTGCAATATAATCCATAGTGGAATAATTGAAACAAAAATAGTTCCAAGATTATTTTATTGCACAATATCAACAGAGAGGATATCAAATTCATGTAAAAACAAAAAAACTAAAGGAATTAGGTTCCTTAATTCGTCAAATATTGTGGGTTTTTTCTTAATGGAGACAAAGCTAGCTCTGTAGCTCACATGATATTGACAACATTAGATCAGAAAGGTCATAATGACAGTTTAAACATGAATGCACCAAAATAAGCAAGAGAAGATTCTATGAGATCACAATGCTACTTTGAAGTCAGGGTATTGGATGTCAACCAATTCCAGGCCCTGTCCTGGGAGAAATGACAGCAAAGCTGACAAGTTCTATATTTTGTGTAAACTTGAATCTGGTGGTCAGACTCGTATATCATCGTACCCCAACATTGCTCATAAAATCGATCATTGGTTGTCTGTTCCAGATTATTAACTTGTCGTCATATAACTGGAATACTGCTGAGTGCAGTGTTAAACAACACACAAACTTTGCAGGATCATCCACAGTCAGTGTTAATCTCATTGCTCACTGAACGGAATGTGTGGAATGACAAAAGGATGTCATCATCATCATTGCTGTCCAACTGTGGGTTCTGATTCTTGTCGTTCTCTTTGGCTAACATCTTAACATGGTAACAAACAGTTTTATGAATTGCTTCCAGAAAAACTCCATCTTGATTCCTGACTTCCGATTGAAATTTTTTACAATTTTGACAACGATGACTCTTAAGAGGACACTCACCATTCATTGCTTTCTCAATCGATAACGTAAAGAAACTCCCTCCCCTCTTCTTGCTGAACGATGACTTTTCTTCATGTCTCGATGACGACCATTGATACACCTTTCTTCCATCCCCTTTGTCTCCGCAATCATCGCTGTTCTCCAGATTCCATAATTTGGGGATATATGAGACAGGTTCGGAATCATCCTTGGAGCAGCTGCTAAGCGACGACGTGAAATCTTCCCCATTGTCATCTGGAATAATATCCGCTCCTGCACTGTAGCAACAGTCTAGGATGATGATGATGCTTTCAACAGGTAACTTCTTCAGCTCTCCTTTCAATTCCTTCGGAGTAATCACATTTTCTCCTCCCCCTAACTTCAGGCCAGCCGTTGTGTTATGTCCAGAATAGTAGAAAAAGAACCTTGCATGATCCTTGTCTTTGGGTAACCCTTTCCGGATTTCTTTAAAAGCGATGATCAGTTTTTTTTTCACGTCATCCTTTTTCCCTGGAGTTTCTGTTTGTATGACTTGAATGTTCTCTTTCCTATGGATAGACACAAAAGTAAACATTATCGCACAGATATCCCCATGCAGCTCTTTAAGACCAATTAAACTTTGTAAATGTGTCATCCAGACTTGATTTACAGTGCAAGGAATTAGGACATATATGTCTATGAGGGGCTGGTTCCTTATAGGGCTGGGACGGGTATCTCGGGTACTCAGGTCTGGTGGGTCCTGAGTAGGACCCGGATACCCATAGGACTACCCCGACCAGTGGTTAATCACGTGGCATACTGTTTAATGACAATAACAATATAACTATGCAAGCATTCGTTCTGACTTTTTGTATGTTTTGAGCAGGGATAAAGCGTCTATCAACTTCAGTGTATGCATGATCAGATGGTTTTATACGTGTACGTAAATAGACTTTGCCCTGGCTGCAGTAAAACAATTTCCATTTGGACATTTTGTACCTATCTCTTGAGACCTACAATGGGTACCTGGGTGGGGTCGGGAAATAGGGGGTCTGTTACCTGGGTAGTCAATTTGGACTCGTCCCAGCCCTAGTTCCTTCCCTGAACTTTTCAGGAATATTAGACCTAGTGCAAGGGTAGACAAGAATATGGAATATAATTAACAAAATATTCTACACACATTCCAACTGCACATACATTCATATCAAACATTGAAATGTAATAAGTCGCAGGTTTATCACAAGGGGAATACGGTTGTTGCGCCTTCTGTCCTGGAGCTGACCGGACACACACATTTTACATGGAAGGTAAAGACAAGACTATTTATCTTACATTAAAATATAGCTTCTGATTGGTTGAGGAGCGGGCATTTATTTTCCATGTAACCGATCATAGGCGGGATATATATATTTTATATGGCCCACTGAGAAATCAATCAGAACACATCTTAGGTAACTTGCTTATCGTGCGCTGAGATTCTGAAATAAACAAATGTTTATCCGAATGCACTGGGTAAAGGGAAGTAACTTGGTTCTTTTCCATTATCTGCTGAGAGTGAAACTGTGGATATACTTTGCGGACCTGTATGAATGACTGTCTATATAGATTATTTGTTGTCAACCGATCCTTCAGGGCATATGGTGTCATGTACCCTGTGTGTATGAGTCTATGTACCCCTTGCCCGATGGCTCGGTGACAACTGATATTGTCAGTGTGGAGTGCCAAATGTACTCTTTAACATGATGCCAATGGCAGCCAAAACTGAGCTTGAAGGTCCAAGGTCCAAATCTAAAAAAGTTAAATATGTCTATATTGAAAACAATGTTTGAAATCAGAAAATTCTGTATGCTCTATGCACCCTGACATCTAAATTATCATTTCAGTTCGGGTAAGCCAAATATCACAGCCCCTAACTTGATTTCAACAAGAAGACATTTTTTTCATGACTTAGGTCTGAATTTTTATTTCTTGGCTTTCAGATTTTAATGTGATAAATCCCGGTTGGTGTGTGGGGAAACACAATTTCATTATTTACCATGTTTACAGTCATAAACCAATTTATCATATGAAGGATCGTTATTGATGTGAAAAAACAATTCATAAATTTGGTATCATGATTCAGTGTGATGCATGCATGAATGATCAATTAAAGATTGACTGATGTTCACAATATATTCAGACAAATATGTCGCCGAAACAAGACAACAAACATTGCTGCAAGTCATTGGGCACTACATGATACATTAGGCAGTTAACTCAAGATTGTATTCATACGCTGTTTCTACAGCTACTTCATTAAGTGAAATTACATCTTAAAGGGGCACTAATCTCTGGCATCCCCTCGGCTGTCTGACACTGGCCGCCAGCGCTCACTAGCTGCCGTGAGTCGATTTGCTCGCTAACGGGCTACCGTCTGTAAAGACAGCATAAATAAACATGGAGGCAATATTTGTTTTACGCATTTTTGAACGCTGATTGGTTACCTGTGATGTATAAAGATTTCGACAAAGGGCGCATGTTAATTAATATCTTCACCCGAAACAAACAGACAAACAGAACGACGGAAGCTTATCGGATGTCGTTGTTTGGAAATACCCCTGATGGTTATAGTTTAATAATAAAAAAGTATCCCTGTAGTGAAAGCAATTTTGTACTTCAGACTGCGTGGATAATACGATTACTACTCCCTTGATGTCATCTACGGTGTATTTGTCATAATTCACTTGATGCTCAGTTAATGAATTTATTACAGGTATAATTAGTGGTAGCACCGCTCAGATTACCTGATAAAGGTTCCCATTTGGGATTTCGTGGATATGACAAAAGTAAGTGTTTACATATGTAGGTTTACTGAAGCAAAGGGAATACACTGATATCATGGCGTGTAGTGCCGATGTAAAAACAACATACTTTGTTCAAAGGGTTTACCGATAATACGTTGATTGATTGCTCATTGTTATCTAACTAAGTGGATTGTTTTTAAGAACTGTGGACATTATGAAAATAGTTGTCACGTGGGCTTTCTCAGCTGACCTTTGAGACTTGACACCTATGTGAAACAACTGAAACAAACTAAGTGATCAGTTGAGAAACAAACACAGGTTATCATATACCGGGACAATATATATTTAAAAATATTTGATTGTTTAAGAGACACATGGCATCCAATAAGTTTTTTTGTACAGCTGCAGACGTGTGGGATATTGTTCCTTTATGTGGATATTCACGGATACATTCCTCGAACAAGGAAGCTGCCTAAAATTATACATAAAAATTTGGTAGGTTGTAATTATGATGTTTTCATTTTGTTTTCCTTCATTTGTTGTAGCATTGAACGGAATCATTCTTGTTCCCCTATGTCTTGGTTGGGAAGTTCTTCGAGGTGCGATAGACTTTGTTTTAACAAGTCTTTTCCTTTGTAAGCGTGTATATATTAGTCAATTTGTAAAATGTGATTTACTCAGGCAATTTATAAAATGTCTTAATATTTCAGTCGTTTTACAAAATGACTGAAAAATCTGTCCATTCATTTAACAGATTGACTAAAAATGATTAAGACGGTTAAAGGGGCTTAAAAACATCACAAAAGATTAATTATGCAAGGATTAGAAGCCAAACTTCATCACCATTACCGATGCTACCCACAAAAATACCTACATCTCCTTATTATTTACAAAACTGTATTTCATTTTGTCGATCAATGTTACCAAACGCACTTATACTATCAATAAAAGTGGTAAATGCGCTTACAAATGGCGCAGCACAGGTCACTAACTTGTCTAAAATTCTGCATGTATCATCCAGGTTCTCACGGAGATAAACAATAACAAAGGCAACAACCAGTCCTGGGGAATTGCTTTAGATCAGTACCCCTTTAAATATCCATTATTTTAAGATTGACATTATATGTTAAAGAGTCTATTATCCTTGCGTGTTTCTATATCGCAAATATCATGATACAAAGTGTATGCCTAATGTATGATATAATGATACAGAAACACACTCGGCTAATGATCTCTACCTTGTAAAAGGCAAACTCATCATAGACAATGAACCAAGTGAATATTTTGACGATGTGATAATGTTCCGCATCTGTATCAATCTGACCGTGGTAGACGTTGCGCGAGACCCTCTCACCTGATGCCAATCACTGCTTCATCCCCTAAAGTCCGCTCCATGGTCCGTACATCAGCAACAAACAGCTTGGCCACGTCTTCTTTCCCGTCATACCCAGCTACAAGTAACGCATACGTATTCTTGTGACCTGTTCAAAATAAAAAAATTATAAATTATCTTGTGAACAAGACAACAATATTTCGAGATCATAGTTACAACTGCCTTGTCTTCGATATAGAACTATCTCTGTTTGAAGTAGATGTTTTAAGATATATCACAGTGGCCTGTAAACCTTCGGCCGGTGAACATAAGGGGCCAGTAGGACAATGGTTCTGGGGATTTGTAAATCATGCATGAAATAATTTAGGAGTGTGACGTCACACCTTTAGTTCATGCACGATTCAATCCTCAAATCGAAACAATAGATCTCTGACAACCCAAGCGCTGTGCAGATCTACTGTCTTTTTAATAGAATAACTAATGTTTTTTTAGGGAAAGCTTGTGTGCATTCTTACAGATGAGTTTCAAAATATTGATTGCCAGCTTCAGAAAGTATCTTAAAACATGAGAAACTATTTCCTTCTACACATTCATCCTCGGTGTGCTGTCATCGAAGCCCTACGGAGAACAAGTGATACCATCACTTTGATGTGTAAAGCTATATTGTCATGCACCTCACTGTTGCAATTGTAGTAGCATATTAGGCCCCTCTGGTCTTATTTCAGAATAAGTGTGTTTGTTTATAAACAAGTCTTGTCACATGATAAGCCTCATCTTCCCGAGGCAAGTGAGTTAACTGACTATAAACGTCCAGTTTCCACAGCTCAGGAGCTCACGTGATTTGATGCACTTTGCTATGTAAGACCCGTTTTATCACAATATAGATCTTGATTATCAATCAGATCGTTTTGACTTGGCGGCACAATTTTGTTTGAAACAAATGCAAGTTATACGAGAGGTGGAATCTGATTGGTCCATAGGAGAGGCTTAGAAGGGACATAACTCATAATAACCACTGGTGGCGCTACGGTCGAGCCCAGGAATTCCAGCCTAGTTCGGCAAGGGTGGAAACTGGACTTTTATAGTCAGTTAACGCCCTTGCCTCGGGAAGATGGATAAGCCTACACCCATGGTGTTGTCACGGAACAGAAACTTCTCTCACGGAATAAAGTTAGCTAGGGGGTTATCGGCTATTACTTGCAACCAATTCTTCAGAACAGGTGACGTACTGGCCATGAACAACAACCAGTGCCATCAGGCGATGAGAGCAACCATTCAGTAGAGGCCAACCATATCTGTAGTCTATGTTAAAAATGGTAGTAATGACGATAATAGCACTAAGATGCTTTGTGGAACAGGAACCTTGGCACATTTTGTATTCATCTATTCCTTCATCATGGGGATTTCATGACAAGCAGGGTCACTGGGATATATTCTGCCCTGGGGATCCTGAAGCAACTGCCTAAGAACATTCGTACAACACAGTTACATTTTAAGATACAGCAGTAAAGGGGGGGACAAGTCTGTATTGACAGTAACATTTTCTTGAAATTTCTCAAATCAGAATGGTTTTAATCTAAGTTTCCCTAAAAAAATAAAAGGGTTATTGTGCATGTTTTTGTGCCTCGTGTACTTATTTACTACCATGCCTAGTTTACATACAGACATGTAAGGAAATCTCTCACCTTGTTAATAATTTTGCATAATTAACATATAATAGTATTTGACTTGTAAAAATATTTTATCACAAAAGGATAAAACATTAATCAGTACAAAGACCATGATTTTTAAGTTATAAAGTAACTGGATACCAATCGTGCACAACTATGTATTCATCTTAATTACTGACCTGCAGCAGCATCTCAATGAATGCCATGATGTCATTCAAAGAGCAGTGACGTTAAAGCTTAAAGAAGGTTGTGGTGGTACCATTTCATTTTGGAAATTAGTCTTTACGCCTATGTTTCTCAGCTGATTCATACTGGCGATGGAATGACTTGATAGATGTTATTAAAGGACTTGCAATACATGACAGCTCTAGCCGAGGAGTGAACATTTAACATATCATTAGACATCCTCCATAACAAGAAGAGCATGATTATTAAGTATCGTAGCAATTTCCAATTGTGGTATTTATTTGAGTCTTTCTAGTTGTCTTGACAAATGACTTCTGCCATTCTCGTTGCCTGAGCTTCCAAGAGCAGACTAAACTTTGTTCCTTCGCAAATGACAATGCTCTGTTAGCCATTACCTATGGGAGAGAAGCATCGTCCATGTTCGGGGCAGACCAGTTGTGTGTGTCGGCCCTGCTGCAAGCACTGGATACAGAACACGGCACATGCATCCATGCATGAACCGGAGAGTGGCTTCAACTTCGCTGAAGAAAACAGGACACATACAATACAATAATATTCTGTGGTCATTCAACACTTGCTTCAATGTGGGACATTTGACTGTAAAGAGGCTTCAACTTTGCTGAAGAAAACAGGACACGTACACTACAATAATATTCTGTGGTCATTCAACACTTGCTTCAATGTGGGACATTTGACTGTAAAGAGGCTTCAACTTCGCTGAAGAAAACAGGACACATACACTACAATAATATTCTGTGGTCATTCAACACTTGCTTCAATGTGGGACATTTGACTGTAAAGAGGCTTCAACTTCGCTGAAGAAAACAGGACACATACACTACAATAATATTCTGTGGTCATTCAACACTTGCTTCAATGTGGGACATTTGACTGTAAAGAGGCTTCAACTTGGCTGAAGAAAACAGGACACATACACTACAATAATATTCTGTGGTCATTCAACACTTGCTTCAATGTGGGACATTTGACTGTAAAGAGGCTTCAACTTCGCTGAAGAAAACAGGACACATACACTACAATAATATTCTGTGGTCATTCAACACTTGCTACAATGTGGGACATTTGACTGTAAAGAGGCTTCAACTTCGCTGAAGAGAAACAGGACACATACACTACAATAATATTCTGTGGTCATTCAACACTTGCTTCAATGTGGGACATTTGACTGTAAAGAGGCTTCAACTTCGCTGAAGAAAACAGGACACATACACTACAATAATATTCTGTGGTCATTCAACACTTGCTTCAATGTGGGACATTTGACTGTAAAGAGGCTTCAACTTGGCTGAAGAAAACAGGACACATACACTACAATAATATTCTGTGGTCATTCAACACTTGCTTCAATGTGGGACATTTGACTGTAAAGAGGCTTCAACTTCGCTGAAGAAAACAGGACACATACACTACAATAATATTCTGTGGTCATTCAACACTTGCTTCAATGTGGGACATTTGACTGTAAAGAGGCTTCAACTTCGCTGAAGAGAAACAGGACACATACACTACAATAATATTCTGTGGTCATTCAACACTTGCTTCAATGTGGGACATTTGACTGTAAAGAGGCTTCAACTTCGCTGAAGAGAAACAGGACACATACACTACAATAATATTCTGTGGTCATTCAACACTTGCTTCAATGTGGGACATTTGACTGTAAAGAGGCTTCAACTTCGCTGAAGAGAAACAGGACACATACACTACAATAATATTCTGTGGTCATTCAACACTTGCTTCAATGTGGGACATTTGACTGTAAAGAGGCTTCAACTTCGCTGAAGAAAACAGGACACATACACTACAATAATATTCTGTGCATGGTCATTCAACACTTGCTTCAATGTGGGACATTTGACTGTAAAGAGGCTTCAACTTCGCTGAAGAAAACAGGACACATACACTACAATAATATTCCGTGGTCATTCAACACTTGCTTCAATGTGGGACATTTGACTGTAAAGGAGACAGTGATACATCTTTAATTAATGATAAAGTTAAACTACCTCCTAAATGATATTTTTGTGTTTGTTTGCTCCTGCTATGGAACCAACAACTGATATGTGGGGTGGGGAACTGGGAATTAATCGTTTGCTGACAATGCTTCCATGGTTTTGAACATATATGAACATTGAGAAGAACAAGTTGTTTTAATATACAGTAAACTATGGTTATAACGAATACGTTTATAACAAACTGACGGATATAACGAAATGTGTTTTTATCCCGTCCATTTGCTGTATATGTATATATGCTTATAACGAACCATGGTTATAACGAACTAAAATTAGTGGTCACTTTAAGTTCGTTATAACCGTAGTTTACTGTACTAGTCAAAAGGAGTTGTAGAACACTTGATTTTCATATGACTGTAGTTAATCTCTCATGACATGACAGGTTAGTGATAGCCATGTGAAATATTGGGTGTTCTTTAACTTCTGGAAATTTAATGAGATGGTTGGGTTTAATTCAACCCATTTCACAGCTTGTCAGCTTAATGTGAGAGGAAAGCGATGCAGGTATCAAACTTTAACACTCCGGTGAAACCCACGAGCATGGGTATGGTGCTGACGAACCTAAAAACATAGTCGGGGAAAAAATGGGATTGGACCCCCATAGTTTTCTGATGTGCCCAAGGGAGGCAACTCTGCACAGCAAATTGCGATGCCCACGATGACTGGGTCAACCATACCCCCAACTTCTTTTGAGTAGTATATATGTAGTAACATGATCAGGGAGCAATGAGGAAATGTACCCTCATATATCTCCCTATTTCCTTTCATGTGAGGCTTTCAAAGGATGGACTCAAAAATTGTTATTAAAACTAAATGTTAAATTGTACTTAAAGTGTAAAACATGAGCAATATTATCAACTACATGTATATACATGATCTGTTAATAGACTGCACTAATAACCTGTAAACATACACTGTATCTCCTTTGTCAAGACTGAAATGTTGTAAGGTTCCGCAAGGTACTGCACTCAGCAATATTCCAGCTATATGACGGTGGTCTGTAAATAATAGAGTCTCGCCCAGACAATCCAGTGATTGATATCATGAGCATTGATCTGTGCAATTGGGAAATGATGACATGCATCAACCAAGTCAGCGAGCCTGACTACACTATCCCGTAAGTCGCCTCTTACAATTTAAATAGTTGCCTTTTACAGCAAGCATGGGTTGCTGAAGACCTATTCTCTACCCAGATCTTCATGGCTGGTTCTCCTATTAGATTTGTGTGAACTTCAGACAAGGTTTTAAGATGAAGTATGCCCTTACATGCAGGCTTCGTCTTGCAAGTGAGACATTCTGAAATACAAAATAATAGTACTGATATGAATATAACAGTACAGGTATGTATGTATACAATGATATTACAGGTATGTATACAATGATATTACAGGTATGTATACAATGATAGTACAGGTATTCAAATTCAAACCCAATTTTTTTCACGTCTTCACTATGAACCATCCCCCACTTTCAGTTTCATGCTGCAGGGGCAGATACAACATTTCCAGAAGGATGCAGGGGCAGATACAACATTTCCAGAAGGATGCGGGGACAGATAAACCATTTCCAGAAGGAAGCAGGGGCAGATACAACATTTCCAGAAGGATGCAGGGGCAGACACAACATTTCCAGAAGGATGCAGGGGCAGATACAACATTTCCAGAAGGATGCGGGGGCAGATACAACATTTCCAGAAGGATGCAGGGGCAGATACATCATTTCCAGAAGGATGCGGGGACAGATACATCATTTCCAGAAGGATGCAGGGGCAGATACAACATTTCCAGAAGGATGCAGGGGCAGATACAACATTTCCAGAAGGATGCAGGGGCAGATACAACATTTCCAGAAGGATGCAGGGGCAGATACAACATTTCCAGAAGGATGCGGAGGCAGATACAACATTTCCAGAAGGATGCAGGGGCAGATACAACATTTCAAGAAGGATGCAGGGGCAGAGACAACATTTCCAGAAGGATGCAGGGGCAGATACATCATTTCCAGAAGGATGCGGGGGCAGATACATCATTTCCGGAAGGATGCGGGGACAGATACATCATTTCCAGAAGAATGCGGGGGAAGATACAACATTTCCAGAAGGATGAGGGGACAGATACAACATTTCCAGAAGGATGCAGGGGCAGAGACAACATTTCCAGAAGGATGCAGGGGCAGATACAACATTTCCAGAAGGATGCAGGGGCAGATACAACTTTTCCAGAAGGATGCGGGGGCAGATACAACATTTCCAGAAGGATGCGGGGACAGATACAACATTTCCAGAAGGATGCGGGGGCAGATACAACATTTCCAGAAGGATGCAGGGGCAGATACAACATTTCCAGAAGGATGCGGGGGCAGATACATCATTTCCAGAAGGATGCGGGGACAGATACAACATTTCCAGAAGGATGCAGGGGCAGATACAACATTTCCAGAAGGATGCGGGGACAGATACAACATTTCCAGAAGGATGCGGGGGCAGATACATCATTTCCAGAAGGATGCGGGGGCAGATACAACATTTCCAGAAGGATGCAGGGGCAGATACATCATTTCCAGAAGGATGCGGGGGCAGATACAACATTTCCAGAAGGATGCAGGGGCAGATACAACTTTTCCAGTAGAATGGGGGGGCAGATACAACATTTCCAGAAGGATGCGGGGGCAGACACAACTTTTCCAGAAGGATGCGGGGGCAGACACAACTTTTCCAGAAGAATGCGGTGGCAGACACAACTTTTCGAGAAGGATGCGGGGGCAGATACAACATTTCCAGGAGGATGCAGGGGCAGATACATCATTTCGAGAAGGATGCAGGGGCAGATACAACATTTCGAGAAGGTTGCGGGGGCAGATACAACTTTTCCAGAAGGATGCGGGGGCAGATACAACATTTCGAGAAGGATGCAGAGGCAGACACAACTCTTCCAGAAGGATGCAGGGGCAGATACAACATTTCCAGAAGGATGCGGGGGCAGATACAACATTTCCAGAAGGATGCAGGGGCAGATACATCATTTCCAGAAGGTTGCGGGGGCAGATACAACATTTCCAGAAGGATGCAGGGGCAGATACAACTTTTCCAGAAGGATGCAGGGGCAGATACAACATTTCCAGGAGTATGGTTTTAATCCGCTTTTAGCAATCAAGGCAGGGGACACCAGAAATGGGCTTCACACATTGTACCCATGTCAGGAATCGAACCCGGGTCTTCGGCGTGACGAGCGAACACTTTAACCACTAGGCTACCCGACCGCCCCTTTCCAGAAGGATGCTGGGAAGAGGGATGCATATTTTCACCTTTTATCATTGTACGTCATCTTTTCACCAGCACTCAAGAAAGCACCAGGAGATAATGTATGCTGATCAAGAGTGCACAGGAACTTGTTGTCAGTCCATTAGAGTAATGGGGTCTAAGTCTGGACTGTACAGTTAAATCACCCACCCTACAGCCCAGACTTAGCCCCCAGTGACTATTTCCTGTTCTGGCAAATGAAATCTGCCCTACGTGGATGACGGGGACATAAAGGCTGCCACAGAGGCATATTTAGAGGGCCAATCTGCGGATTTCTATAAAAGTGGTATTAAAAGCTTGAAGGACAAATGGAATAAGTGTATTGAGGTGAATGGAGATTATATTGAAAAATAAAAGTGCAAAAGATATTCTGCGACTTGGTCTTATACTGAACGCCCCTCGTAGCTATGGGCGTCATACTGAACCATATTGTTTGGTTGGTATACAGCAAGAGACCTTTGGCCATGAGAATGCATTCCTAACTCACATTTCATATTTTTGTGGCTAGGTTCAGTAAGACTTCAAATATGGGAATAATGAACCCAGCCATGCGTTACAACACTCAAGAGAGCTTTGTGCAAGTTATTAAATGTTCAACTACTGCCATGATAACAAAAATACATTCATGCATAGTTTAAGATTTGTTATTACATCACACGTTTTCATTATTTCTTTCTCATGCTTCAATAAATATGAGCAGGAAAACTTTTGTCACATAAAGTAATTGCTCCCAAGAATTCCCCAGTGCACAATCTCGGAACAACTACTATAGACCAGCGCCTTTCAACACCGGTCAACAACAGAACCTACTGGGACCACTGCTTCGAGAACGGCTCCGGTCCTTGTCAGCCAGAATCTTCTTGTATTCCTGTTTGCACTGTGTCTTCATGCCCTCACTGCCCACACATAAATAGAACTTGTCCAGGTTCTGCGTGTAATTTGTAGATACCTGGATGTTTGATATTGCAACCATGGTCGCCCGCATCACCATAGCTGGCTTGTCACACAGGTCATCTTGTAATCAAACAAGAACAGCATTGTTAGCATTTAGGGTAAAGCAGAGTGCATTTTGTTGTTACAAGTTAACATACAAATGATAGATGAAGTCACAGAATCTGCAAATCAACCTGACTCCTGTAATCATGTCTGCTGTAAATCCAGGTGGTTTTGATCATTACAGAAACACTTTGTATACCCAGTCAACTATAAATCTCAAAAGGTATAAATGCTTAGTTTGCCTAAAAATAGGTGTGTGGGTGTGTTTCTGTGTCTGTGTGTGTTTGTGTGTGTGTGCAGGGTATCCGCATATACACTGGGACACTCCATCCTACATGGAGAGGAGGCAGCATACTAGGCTCTAGATATACCTAGGATTGCATACCATCTTGCATTCCAGTTTAACATCCGAACCATCAGTCTGAAGAGCGAGTGAGTATGGCTTTACACTAAGCAATATTCCAGCAATATCTCTGCATGAACACCAGAAATGTGCTTCACACACTGTAAAGGTCCCTTTACACAGGGCTGCGACCTTTGTGCCACCTTTGAGCAATCAACAACTGGCCAGGACGCTCAATGGTCGCCTTAACCCAGAAAATCACGTTTCTATGTAACTGCTCCAGCAGTTGTTCAGCAGTAACTGCTCGAGTTGTTCAACGTCTGCAACCATAATGAAACACTGCAGGTACAAGCCCTCTATTTATAGGCAGGCTGAGGAGGCACTACAGGTTGCTCAAAGGAGGCAGAAAAGAGGCAGAAGCATTGCCATGGTGTCTCAAGGGTTGCCATGGTCACCAAATGGAGGCATGGCGGTCGCCACAGTCATCATTCAATGCACGCTGTTGGTCGCCCAAAGGAGGTACAAGGGAGGCAGAAGCATTGCCCAGATTGACGGAAAAATTTGCAGCAGAAAGCATCTATTACCTGGCGACCATTGGGTGACCACTGTGCCTTCATTCTGCAACAACGGCAATGTTTGTGCCTCCCTTCTGCCTCCATGTAGCCACCTTTGAGCAACCAACCTCCTCGGCAACCTTTGTGCGACTGTTTTGAACATGTTCAAAAATTCACGGCAACCATGGCATCCATGGCGATGTCTGAACCTCCTGTGTACAACCTTGGAACGACCTGGGCAACCATTCTGCCTCCTTTGAGCCTCCAATGACGACCTGGCAAATTTTATGGTCACACACAGGAGGCACAAATGTCGCCATCCTGTGTAAAGGCCCCATAACAATGTGAGGAATGGAACCAGTGTCCTTGGCTTTAAGAAGTGTGTGACCTCATCAAACTGACACTGACACAATCAGAATGTATGTCAAGTAAAGTTTTTCGAATTCAGAAAAAAGGTAATTCAAACTAGATGTCGGAACATATAAGGATACTGACATCATCAAGAACTTGACAAGATGAAGTTATGTTTCGTCCCTCCAAGTCTACTAAATTCAGGCCGGTAATCAGTACAACACAGAATGTACAAGTTCCTAGGCCTACATGCATAAATCAATGCTAAGATTAACATACCGGTAACTCCATAACAGACAAATTGCATCCATCATCAAGCAGTGCATTAAAAGCAATCGTATACTAAGAGCATTGAAGCCTTTTTCTCTTTATCAATCCTGTGTTCAGTTAAATACAAGTCACTGTAGTACATGTACTCGGAGAGCAATAATAATGAACTATAATTTCCAGAATCTACCCCAGTGGCTAGAATAAGGAATTTCTAAAAGGGAACAATTTCCTACCAGAGAACATCACTGGAAATACAACTTTTGTCTCTGCCCTACTGACAATATACTCCAGGCATCTGATGAGGGCATTTGCGACCTGTCTGTTGGTCACAGGGTGGTATCTACAGTGGACGACACACGCAGCTGTTGACCTCCCTCCACCCGTTGCAACCGCCTGGTCATGCTGAAGACATGTTCCTGTAAAAGACATGGTGCTTACTTTCACTGTAATAAATCTTCTGGCCGCTTAGAAAATTGACAAAGACGGATGCTTATTAAAACCACACACGTAAACGTTGTTGTCAGTGATCAAGTGGTAGTTCACCCACTTAGTTCAAATGTCAATGAAACTAACATTGTTTTATGATACAATCGGACCCCATTATCTCAATGTTAGCAGGACCAAGTTGTAAGTTTGAGATATCCAGACATTTGGGACGGCGGGGCATGGGCAGCCTGACAGATCATGTAACAGTATCATAGATCCATAGCAATACGATTGCACACATGAGAAATTATGAACACAACATGTATGCCATGTAGACAGCACATTTAAAGGAATATTGAAATCCTTTGCAATCTGTTTTTGAGATCATTCCCGATTCCACAGAATGTATCGCATCATATTTCTTCTGCATTGGGTGTTATGTAAAGTTCTTTTTTTTTTAGTCTGTCCCCTTGACCAAAGCATCGAAGTGCCACTCTCGTCACAATCTTGTTCATTTACTGCTTGGATATTGTGACAAGTATCACCTGGCTTTGGTTCCTCAATCTGACATTTATTACCACTTTTTGATGTAACCATGTAAATTGTGAGCAAGATATCATGATATGTATCAGATTGTGAGCAAGGTATCATGATACGTATCAGATTGTGAGCAAGGTATCATGATACGTATCAGATTGTGAGCAAGGTATCGTGATACGTATCAGATTGTGAGCAAGGTATCATGATTTACGTATCAGATTGTGAGCAAGGTATCATGATACGTATCAGATTGTGAGCAAGGTATCATGATACGTATCAGATTGTGAGCAAGGTACCGTGATACGTATCAGATTGTGAGCAAGGTATCATGATTTACGTATCAGATTGTGAGCAAGGTATCATGATACGTATCAGATTGTGAGCAAGGTATCGTGATACGTATCAGATTGTGAGCAAGGTATCATGATACGTATCAGACTGTGGGCAAGGTATCATGATACGTATCAGATTGTGAGCAAGGTATCATGATACGTATCAGACTGTGGGCAAGGTATCATGATACGTATCAGATTGTGAGCAAGGTATCATGATACGTATCAGATTGTGAGCAAGGTATCGTGATACGTATCAGATTGTGAGCAAGGTATCGTGATACGTATCAGATTGTGAGCAAGGTATCATGATACGTATCAGATTGTGAGCAAGGTATCATGATACGTATCAGATTGTGAGCAAGGTACCGTGATACGTATCAGATTGTGAGCAAAGTATCATGATACGTATCAGATTGTGAGCAAGGTATCATGATACGTATCAGATTGTGAGCAAGGTATCGTGATACGTATCAGATTGTGAGCCAGGTAGCGTGATACGTATCAGATTGTGAGCAAGGTATCATGATACGAATCAGATTGTGAGCAAGGTATCATGATACGTATCAGATTGTGAGCAAGGTATCATGATACGTATCAGATTGTGAGCAAGGTATCATGATACGTATCAGATTGTGAGCAAGGTATCATGATACGTATCAGACTTTGGGCAAGGTATCATGATATGTATCAGATTGTGGATTAACTCATGGATGTTCTACACTCTGGGTACTTACTGAATTCGTCAAGCTGTCCGGTTGTAATAACCTCTCCAATCTTCTCAAACAGAGGATGAGTTCCTGAAATGTTTTTGTAAGATCAGTTTGGCTGTCGATGACTAGTATACTAGAATGAACATATGTGCAAGATCCTTAGGTCTTATCAGTTAATATTACCCATGCATTACAGTTGATAATGACACTTTAATGAGTGAGTGAGCTGCTTTCAACAGTACTTATCTATCATATCCACCTGAAAGTTACTCATGAGCATGAGTATTGTGCTGACAAATCAAGAATCAAAATTTGAGCAGATCCTTGTACAGCCAAGGGGCATAATTCTGCTACCGGATTCCCATAGGATGGTATCAGACTCAACTCACACACATATCTCAGTGACCTACAATCAAATATTAATGGATAAACCACTCTACCTCATCTGAATCATGAAGGATAGGAGATAAACATACTGTTTTTTTCAGTGTAGACTTACACCCAGTAAACATACTTTGGAAATCAATGATGTCGCAGTCAGATATAGAAAGGTGCAAAATTTCAAGCTCACTCACTGTTGTCCCCCAAACTAGAAATACACTCAGTCAGTTGATTTCTATTGCGTTAATTTCCAACATCTATTGCCACAAATACTTTGAATATTGTAAAAAACAAAACTATGTACTATGAAAACTTTAATTAAACATCAGTATTGCAAAATTCCTACCAACCATGACTGAGAAAGAAGTTCTTTTCTATGAACATTAACTTCTGCAGTGATGCGTTTGTCAAATCGACTGTTTCAATCAGAGGTAGTTATTGTCATTTGAAACCTCTTATTCACCAATCAGATTACCGGTAACCTGATTAAGCATGACATCACAGCAACACAACACTGAGCTGGTCAGGCAGACAAACAGGAGAGTATACATGGTATAAGGTTGAATAAAATTATTTTATGAAGGAACCCTGTGGTATTAAGGAACCATCAAGTCTCTTAACTTCCATCTTCCCAAGGCAAGGGAGTTAACTGACTGTAAGTCAAGTTTCCACCCTTGACAAATGAGGCTGGAACTTCTGGGCTCGATGGTTTTGGCTGGACTAACGAGTCCATGCATTGTCCAATAAAAATCGCGTAACGAAATCTACATCCGGTTTGTAAATTTCAGTCGATTGCAAGATTTGCAAGATTTGCAGAGCATGTGCACTGTCAATTTACCCCGCGAACTGCTTCAAATCACATAAGCACCTGGATTGAAAAAATGAAAATATTTGGAAAATATCTGTTGACGCTAAGTTGATAGTACATATGCACTGCAAAACTTGCAATCAACCGGAAATTTATCGACAACTCCATAATTGCAGCCTAGTTCGGCATGGATGGAAACAAGACTTTTATAGTCAGTTAACTCCCTTGCCTTGAGAAGATGCTAAACTTCAGGAGCTGAAAAGGGGATAAGTAAAGGCTTCTAGAGCTGAAAAGGGGATGAGTACAGGCTTCTAGAGCTGAAAAGGGGATGGGTACAGGCTTCAAGAGCTAAGAAGGGGATGAGTACAGGCTTCTAGAGCTGAGAAGGAGATGAGTACAGGCTTCAAGAGCTGAGAAGGGGATGAGTGAAGGCTTCAAGAGCTGAGAAGGAGATGAGTACAGGCTTCTAGAGCTGAGAAGGGGATGACAACAGGCTTCAAGAGCTAAGAAGGGGATGAGTACAGGCTTCTAGAGCTGAGAAGGAGATGAGTACAGGCTTCAAGAGCTGAGAAGGGGATGAGTACAGGCTTCAAGAGCTGAGGAGGGGATGAGTACAGGCTTCAAGAGCTGGGAAGGGGATGAGTACAGGCTTCAAGAGCTGGGAAGGGGATGAGTACAGGCTTCAAGAGCTGGGAAGGGGATGAGTACAGGCTTCTAGAGCTGAGAAGGGGATGAGTGAAGGCTTCTAGAGCTGAGAAGGAGATGAGTGAAGGCTTCAAGAGCTGGGAAGGGGATGAGTACAGGCTTCAAGAGCTGGGAAGGGGATGAGTACAGGCTTCAAGAGCTGGGAAGGGGATGAGTACAGGCTTCTAGAGCTGAGGAGGGGATGAGTAAAGGCTTCTAGAGCTGAGGAGGGGATGAGTACAGGCTTCAAGAGCTGGGAAGGGGATGAGTACAGGCTTCTAGAGCTGGGAAGGGGATGAGTACAAGCTTCTAGAGCTGAGAAGGGGATGAGTACAGGCTTCTAGAGCTGGGAAGGGGATGAGTACAGGTTTCTGGCGCCGACAAGGGGATGGGTGTAGGCTGCTAGAGCTGGGAAGGGGATGAGTACAGGCTTCTAGAGCTGGGAAGGGGATGAGTACAAGCTTCTAGAGCTGAGAAGGGGATGAGTACAAGCTTCTAGAGCTGAGAAGGGGATGAGTACAGGCTTCAAGAGATGAGAAGGGGATGAGTACAGGCTTCAAGAGCTGAGAATGGGGTGAGTACAGGCTTCTAGAGCTGGGAAGGGGATGAGTAAAGGCTTCTAGAGCTGAGAAGGGGATGAGTACAGGCTTCAAGAGATGAGAAGGGGATGAGTACAGGTTTCTGGCGCCGACAAGGGGATGGGTGTAGGCTGCTAGAGCTGAGAATGGGATGGGTACAAGCTTCTAGAGCTGAGTAGGGCATGAGTGAAGGCTGCTAGAGCTGAGAAGGGCATGAGTGAAGGCTTCTAGAGCTGAGAAGGGCATTAGTGTAGGCTGCTAGAGCTGAGAAGGGCATGAGTGAAGGCTTCTAGAGCTGAGAAGGGCATTAGTGTAGGCTTCTAGAGCTGAGGAGGGGATGAGTACAAGCTTCTAGAGCTGATAAGGACATGAGTGAAGGCTTCTAGAGCTGAGAATGGGATGGGTACAAGCTTCTAGAGCTGAGTAGGGCATGAGTGAAGGCTGCTAGAGCTGAGAAGGGCATGAGTGAAGGCTTCTAGAGCTGAGAAGGGCATTAGTGTAGGCTGCTAGAGCTGAGAAGGGGATGAGTACAACCTTCTAGAGCTGAGAAGGGCATGAGTGAAGGCTTCTAGAGCTGAGAAGGGCATGAGTGAAGGCTTCTAGAGCTGAGTAGGGCATGAGTGAAGGCTGCTAGAGCTGAGAAGGGCATGAGTGAAGGCTTCTAGAGCTGAGAAGGGCATTAGTGTAGGCTGCTAGAGCTGAGAAGGGGATGAGTACAAGCTTCTAGAGCTGAGAAGGGCATGAGTGAAGGCTTCTAGAGCTGAGAAGGGCATGAGTGAAGGCTTCTAGAGCTGAGAAGGGGATGAGTACAAGCTTCTAGAGCTGAGAAGGGCATGAGTGAAGGCTTCTAGAGCTGAGTAGGGCATGAGTGAAGGCTGCTAGAGCTGAGAAGGGCATGAGTGAAGGCTTCTAGAGCTGAGAAGGGCATGAGTGAAGGCTTCTAGAGCTGAGTAGGGCATGAGTGAAGGCTGCTAGAGCTGAGAAGGGCATGAGTGAAGGCTTCTAGAGCTGAGAAGGGCATTAGTGTAGGCTGCTAGAGCTGAGAAGGGATTACAAGCTTCTAGAGCTGAGAAGGGATGAGTACAAGCTTCTAGAGCTGATAAGGACATGAGTGAAGGCTTCTAGAGCTGAGAATGGGATGGGTACAAGCTTCTAGAGCTGAGTAGGGCATGAGTGAAGGCTGCTAGAGCTGAGAAGGGGATGAGTACAAGCTTCTAGAGCTGAGAAGGGCATGAGTGAAGGCTTCTAGAGCTGAGAAGGGCATGAGTGAAGGCTTCTAGAGCTGAGAAGGGGATGAGTACAAGCTTCTAGAGCTGAGAAGGGCATGAGTGAAGGCTTCTAGAGCTGAGTAGGGCATGAGTGAAGGCTGCTAGAGCTGAGAAGGGCATGAGTGAAGGCTTCTAGAGCTGAGTAGGGCATGAGTGAAGGCTGCTAGAGCTGAGAAGGGCATGAGTGAAGGCTTCTAGAGCTGAGAAGGGCATTAGTGTAGGCTTCTAGAGCTGAGAAGGGATTACAAGCTTCTAGAGCTGAGAAGGGATGAGTACAAGCTTCTAGAGCTGATAAGGACATGAGTGAAGGCTTCTAGAGCTGAGAATGGGATGGGTACAAGCTTCTAGAGCTGAGTAGGGCATGAGTGAAGGCTGCTAGAGCTGAGAAGGGCATGAGTGAAGGCTTCTAGAGCTGAGAAGGGCATTAGTGTAGGCTGCTAGAGCTGAGAAGGGGATGAGTACAAGCTTCTAGAGCTGAGAAGGGCATGAGTGAAGGCTTCTAGAGCTGAGAAGGGCATGAGTGAAGGCTTCTAGAGCTGAGTAGGGCATGAGTGAAGGCTGCTAGAGCTGAGAAGGGCATGAGTGAAGGCTTCTAGAGCTGAGAAGGGCATTAGTGTAGGCTGCTAGAGCTGAGAAGGGGATGAGTACAAGCTTCTAGAGCTGAGAAGGGCATGAGTGAAGGCTTCTAGAGCTGAGAAGGGCATGAGTGAAGCCTTCTAGAGCTGAGAAGGGGATGAGTACAAGCTTCTAGAGCTGAGAAGGGCATGAGTGAAGGCTTCTAGAGCTGAGTAGGGCATGAGTGAAGGCTGCTAGAGCTGAGAAGGGCATGAGTGAAGGCTTCTAGAGCTGAGAAGGGCATTAGTGTAGGCTGCTAGAGCCGAGAAGGGGATGAGTACAAGCTTCTAGAGCTGAGAAGGGCATGAGTGAAGGCTTCTAGAGCTGAGAAGGGGATGAGTACAAGCTTCTAGAGCTGAGAAGGGCATGAGTGTAGGCTGCTAGAACTGAGAAGGACATGAGTGAAGGCTTCTAGAGCTAAGAAGGGCATGATTGAAGGCTTCTAGAGCTGAGAAGGGGATGAGTGAAGGCTTCTAGAGCTGAGAAGGGGATGGGTGTAGGCTGCTAGAGCTGACCTCACGCCCTGATACATTTTCAAAATAATACCCTGACAATAGCTGAGAATGAGAGGAAATAAAATCATTTACCATTATCAACACTGTGCTTATTCCACAAGCAAATGATGGTACTGGAGTTGCACAAGTTGCTGAAGCCAACTTTATCCAGGGGTACAATCTTCAGGTGTATTCTCTTCTTTTCTGGACTTTCATCATCAGTTGGTTCACCCTTAAACAGAGATGAAAAGAGAAAGTACCACTCGTTCGGCAGGAAAGCAGATTTAATTCTAGCTTCTATCCAAACTGCCATGAGGTATGACACCAGAGTTGAGTTTCATATTGTGTTTGTACAACTCATGCTAGTTATTTACTTAGGGTTTTATTAATAAATTCATCAATATTACTGTAATGATAAATGGCCAAGTAATTTTACAAGATGATCCCTCCAGACTAACAGCCATGACAGTCATTTTAAACTGGGTGAGGCTGTCTACTCAGTGCAGCATTTCAATTATCATTGATCAATGGATTATATCATGACACCATGAAATACAAAACACATAATCATGGACATACACATATCATGTGTAAATATATGCCAAATCTTTCAGATAAGATCAGTAAAGATCAATTTACATGTGTATGGGCAATTTCAATCACATGGGTTACAATAAGTACACTAGTACTATTATTAGACTATTTGATGTAAGTTCTGACAATATAAACAGGTTAAACTTACATATACCAAGTCAGGGTGTGGATATCTAGTTATTGAAGTTACCTGAATTCTTACAACAAATTCATCAGTAATGGATAATAATCACATTACTGCAGTTTTCAATGTCCATGACTTGATACAACAACCGGGCGGTCGGGTAGCCTAGTGGTTAAAGCGTTCACTCGTCACACCGAAGACCCGGGTTCGATTCCCGACTTGGGTACGTGCCGTGATATTGCTGGAATATTGCTAAAAGCGTTGTAAAACCAAACTCACTCACTCACCCACTCACTCACTCACTGATACAACACAAATGAACACCCTGAAAACATTCATGCCTATCAACAAGGCAGAGGTTCCCTCCTTTTCTCTAATCCTTGACAACCTTGAGTGGTGAGTTGGGTTTAATGCTGCTTTGAACAGTATTCCAGTTATATCACGGCGTGTCAGCTTAATGTTGAATAAAGCCCGAAGCGATGCAGGTCTTAGATGTTTACCACTTTGGTGAAACCTACGAGCACAGGTATTGTGCTGACAAACCTAGAAACAGGCAAACCAGGACTGGAACCCATATCATAGATTTCTCGGGTGCCCAAGGGACACAATTCTGTGCCCCAATGCCAACCTTGAAATTCGGATGGACAAGTGAGGGACTGAGAAGATTGACTATTGTTTTGTCCTCCTCAACAGTGACCTATTTGACTATCTATCAAACTTAACCTGTGTCTGCACACATACAGAGTATGACAATTTGTTCAAGTGCACCAATATTTGTTTGAAGTTGAGATCAAGAATGTTAACAAGAGAGTAGGACAGATTACGGGCAGTTTGGAATTGAAACAGTGATTGATCTACAACCAACTGAAGTAAAAACTGACATACTGAGGAATTGAAAGACAATTGTTGTGTTCCATGCTCTGGAAGAGGTACATTCCTTGTAGGAGTACCTTCCCCTGAGCTTGTTCCAGAAGGGGGTGACTCAGGTTTCTTCCAATCTTGACCTTCATCATCTGCTATTGGACTGGCTTTAGTTGCTTCACCTTGTTCTGAGGGGCCTTGACACAGAGGCTTCTCACACCCTGAGGACTTAAACAAATCTGATGGAGGATTACATGAAGGTTGAACATCATTGCAAGGATGCTGTGCCATTCTTGCTTGCTCCACTGGCTGCAGTTTCAGTGCTTCCCAACAGGTCATGCAATAAGGATCACATTGTGCTACATATTTCCGGCCACACAGCATCTTACAATCATGTTGGCCGACAGTAAATTCTGTTTGTTGGCCGAATGAATTTGTACTGGTTGCGGGTGACGTCAGTTGCATCTTGTCAGCTCCACTGCCAAATAATTCATCTGAGTTGACAGGTTCATAGATGTCTGGAGGAGCAGCGTGACTCAACTTGGACAGCCTGCTATTACTGTAGTCGTTTTGCTCATTTCCATCAGTTTCAGAACAATCTGCACGACTCTTTGTTAAAGATTTCCTAGCAGTTTCAGAACAATCTGCACGACTCTTTGTTAAAGATTTCCTAGCAGTTTCAGAACAATCTGCACGACTCTTTATTAAAGATTTCCTAGCAGTTTCAGAACAATCTGCACGACTCTTTGTTAAAGATTTCCTAGCAGTTGCAGAACAATCTTCATGACTCTTTGTTAAAGATTTCCTATCCAGGTAGTTCTTGAAGCAGCTGCTGCATTGTCCATTCTGTTCCTCCAGGCCGTAAAACTCACAGTTTTGTGTAGTGCATAGTTGATCCTTCTCTGCTGAAGAATTCCTAATTACTGACCGATCCATAATCTGACCAGCACTAAAACATCTTCTGCAAAAACCATGCAACTTTTTATACCCAGACTCCTTGCAACCAGTAACACGACACTCCTGGAAAGTGGTCACCTGTCCTTCACTATCAACCTGCCTTAAGTAGCACTGGAGACAAAGTCCATTGGCAGTGGTACCTGACTTGCCACAGCCTGAAGTCAGACACACAGGGTCAGGCCTGATTTTCAAACCTTCAATCTTTCTCAAAGGTTGATTGATAGTGATTTCAGGCAATTGTTGATGGCATGCACTGTAACATGATTGACATCGTCCATTATACCCTGGAATGCGAATGTTATCACAGCCTGTAACAGTGCATTTTCGAAAGTCCTCCATATTTATCACAATGACAATTATGTCATTGTGATTTTTAGTGTCTTGGCATCTGGAATATAAAAAAAGGTTTAATGATTTTTTGCAGAAACAGTTTGATCATGAACCCTGGTCTCATAAAATCCAACATGTGACAATGGCACAATTCAGTAAGGTGATTCAACTTAAGTTTCTTTAAAGTCCCGATAGAATCATTATTTGACCAGGGGGGCATGGGTAGCCCAGTCGTCTAGGCCGCTGCGATTCGCTGTGCGGAGTTGCGTCCCTTGGGCACGCCAGAAACCTATGATTGTTTTTTTCGAATCTCGGTTCGCCCCGATTATGTTTCTTGGTTTGTCAGCACCATACCTGTGCTCGTGAGTTTCACCAAAGTGGCATCACTTCGGGCTTTCCTCCCACATTAAGCTGACATGCTGTGATATAACTGAAATAATGTTAAAAGCAGCGTTAAACCCAACTCACTCACTCACTCATTATTTGACCCCAGCCTTGGTCAACATTTGGACGAGTCAGATAAACAAAGGTTTTTAATAATATAAAAGAGGTCTCCGTGTGTAAGTGGGTCTTACAGGGCTCCTTGATACAACTCAAAAACACTCTCGTAAACTTATAGATCAAACACGTGCGTCTTAAGGAGACAGAAAGTGGTATCCTAGTGATCGAAAACTGGCCAGACACATGGATCAGCATATATATGGATCAGACGTGCGGCAGAAAATGGTATCTGCGTGATTTAAAACTGGACAATGGCACAGCCAGTGTCAACATAAACACTGTATTCCATGAAACGACTATGATTACAATGATGCTTACAATGTTTTAACAGTACCAAATCGTGAATCAAAATATTTCAAGCTGTTCAAATCAAACCTTTTGAGAGGTGCTGTTATAATCCTTCCGGGTTACGTCAAAGGGGAGTTACTTTTGGACGACTAGCGTAACTTTAACGATTGAAGACCACAATAAAGACGGGCTCATTTGAGGATAATTTATAATATACATAATAATCACCCTGGTCCACATTATCATCTGATACACAATACCAGAAAATTACCTTGTAAATTATTCTTGAGTTTAACAAGTGTCAACATATTCAATACTTTAATACCTTGGTTTAGCCCTCTGGTAAAACCCACGTTGTGTCGTAAGGAGAAACGGTGGATAATAATCATTGCAAATCTGTGATTCAAACCTACGATCAGCAGGTCCTGTCTAGGTTAAGGGCCGCAACTCTTCACAGCCATGATTTCTTGAACACCCGTGCAGCTATAATGGTGGGTAAATCATCAAGTTTCGATTTTTCTTTTGGAACAGTAAGGCTTTCGCTGTTGCCATACAAATGAACTATGTGTACGTGTTAAACGAGTAATTTAAATAAACGATATTGTTCATAGTAAAGTTAAACTAGTGATCTAACCACCTGTCCCGAGTGTCATACCTCCGCGGGAGGCTAACTGACACTCGACACTCAATTCCAAACAGCGCCACGCAACGAAATTAATTAATGCGGTCGTAAAATCATTGTAAATCCCCTTCACTGATTGGCTTTTATACTTGTTTTTCCAGTGTATCGTGGATAGTTTTAAAGTGGGGCCTACTATCTATACAAGTCATTTAGTCATGTGTTACAGTATAAACTTTCGAAACCGATGCCAATACGTGTATACAGTACGTATTATCTGAAGCAGGATGTTTTCTCTGTGTTGATCAATGCATTCAGTACTCTGTTTGGGGAGCAGATAGGAAAAATAAACATTGTGTCAAAATCTCTTCACAAACCATCAATATCCTAAAATGGTTGGTTGGTTGGTTTGTTGTTTAACGCCGCAGTCAGCAATATCCCAGCTATATCCAGACGGCGGTCTGTAAATAATCGAGTCTAGACCAGACAATCCAGTGATTGATATCATGAGCATCGATCCACGCAATTGGGATCGTTGACATGTATCAACCAAGTCAGCGAGCCTCACCACCCGATCCCGTTAGTCGCCTCTTGCGACAAGCATAGTCGCCTTTTACGGCAAGCATGGGTTGCTGAAGACCTATTCTACCCCGGATCTTCACGGGTATCAATGAATGCATGGCACTTGTTATGTATTACAACTTTTTTCTTTTTTGTAACGATCTACATCTCACCTCTTCATCATGAGTCAGAATCCCCCGATGATGGGGCAAGCATTAGCTCAGTAACGTCGTTACAGAGAAGAAAACAAGTTGTTACCCACTAAAAAGTGTCATGTCTTCGTGTTCTTGCAACCTCTAAATGTCCACCAAAGACTTCAATCTCTACACAGTTTTCTTTTAAGCAATTTTAAGATGAAAAGCTCGTGTTTGTATTTCTCGTTCATTTGTTTTTCCTGAAATGCATAAATCATGCGGAAGAAGATGGTAAGACCTAGATGTTTGTATTTGCAGTAAAGTGTGGATGATTACCTCCACGCAATTTGTTAAACTAACTGTACATCTGGCTTCATCAAATGTTCTTTGTGCTACTTGTTATCTATTACCTGTTGTTGTTATATGTTAATCTGCTTATCACCACATATCATGCCTATACCTCTCTTCACTGTAGTCACTCCAGTTTAATAATGATGTAGGAATATACATCGAAATGACGCTATATGCAATAAACAAGAAGTTGTTATCCTCAAAATTGTACGTTTTCTTAGTAAAGTCGTGGTGTTTGTTCTTTAATAAAGGTTCAGTTGCCGCATCAATGGCTTCTAGAAAGGCCATTGTGGCATAATGTCACAGCATATTGTCCGTCGTCCATCCGTAAAATGTCACGCGATGACCTTTGCTACAGAGACAAAGTGAGTGACAAAAAGGCTGGACACCGAACATTTAGGTCGTCCCAATAACGTGCGTCAGTTTTGTTCAATACATCCATCATGTTAAGCGTTTTCGGTTGAAAACCAAATGATAATCTTCTCAGCTGTAACATATCTGTTCATTAAAAGTCTTTCATTCAGTAAGTGAGTGACATTAATTACGTGTGCTCCGCTTTAAGCAGTATTTCAGCTACATAACGAAATTTCAGCTGAGCGAGTAAAGCCTAGTTTAGAGTGAGGGACAGACTTACACTTCGTCTCTTAAAATATTTCTTTAAAATAAGTGTATTTGTTTTTAAAAAAGAACCTTTCCTCTTCTGCTGTTATATCAAGGACTAGACATGGTTTAGTTTGATCTATATATACAAATATTCCACAGTCATGGCGCAGGACTAAGTGATTGAGTGAGAATGGTTTTATGTGCTGTTAGCGATGTTCTGGTAATATCACTGAGGGGGACACGGGGAATGGGCTTCACACATTGTATATACCTAGTTTAGGTCATTGTTGCTTAGTGAAATTTATGAGCACAGATATGGTTCTAGCAAACCGAAGATCTTATCGAATTCAGATGCTACCCCTGGGATAAGCGGATTCTGGCACGGGTAAGGGACGTAACTCTACACAAAGAGTTTCAATACCTCAAACGACTGGGCCGATAAAATTGCTGTTCGAAGCAGCGTTAGACCTCAACTCACTTACCCACTCGATATATATTTGTTTCTTTCTTTCTTTGTTGTTTAACGCAGCACTCAGCAATATTCCAGCTATATGACGGCGGTCTGTAAATAATCGAGTCTGGACCAGACAATCAAGTGATTGTCGCCTCTTACGACAAGCATAGTCGCCTTTTACGGCAAGCATGGATTGCTGAAGACCCATTCTACCCTGGATCTTTACGGGTCACTCGATATATGAATTTCATGTGCACAGTATACCACATAGTATCTTTCTCATTTGAGATTTTTACGCCGCTGTAGCAATATTCCAGCAAATATCACGGCGATACTACAAACATATGCTTCCGCTTTGTCCCCATGTGGGGAATCGAACCCAGATCTTTTTGCGTGACGAGCCACTATAGGTTACCCCCTCGTGCCGGTTTGAATAAAGATGTCAGAAAATTATTTGTTTAACAAGTAATGTTTAAAAAGAACAGGATAGCTGAAACTCATTTGAACATCAAGGAGAATCAGTAGGCACGCGTTTCCACTGTAGTACTGGCCCGGTTGCCTCTAGCATGGGTAATATCTTCTTCAGTTTGTTTACACACTCCAGGTTCGTTTGTTATTGTCTAGGCTGTAAATGTACTCCAAAGGCAGGGTACCTGTCATGCATGGAGTTACCATTAATGGTATGGTGCCAGAAATGTCCTTTAATAGTATTTTCACATTTGCTGTAAATGTTATAAGTTGTAGCAGGATCACTCGGGGTACATGGGGTTTATGCGTCCCGAGTTAATGCGTCCCGAGTTCAGTTTTATACCACGAGACGGAGGCGAATTATCTTACCGACATGTTTTAAGATGACATTGTAAAAGAATTAAAACAAATTCAAAACTGATAGAAAACATCTGTTCGATTGAGCTGAGGTTAGCTTGTGATATGTCACGTGACTTTCACTGACTCGGAAAAAGCCTGCGACGTTTTGCCTGCAAGCGGGTATAAGGGATTAATTCTGACTCTCAGAAATGCATGTGCCTCCTGACTTGTTCGTGGCGGGGTATAAGAGATTTATTCCCCCGCTGAGAAATTTATTCCCCTCCAAGGCAGGATTCACAGTATTTTATCAAGATCACGTTGACCAGTCAGATCCCATCATTCTGAGTTCGAGATATGATAAGGTAAGTTATTTCCGTGGCCTACAGAAAGGTTTGAGCCTGGTCTACCTACATCCTCAAAACAATGTAATAAAATGAAGGAATGTGTTTAAATCCTAAACGGAATACACAGTTGGTGTGTTCTATCTAAACACGTGCACCGTCTGAACGCGAAATGAAAGTCTAAATGCCACCTAAATAATGTAAACATGTTTAAATTTAAACATGCCAATGTGTATTATCCAAATAATCGAAACATGTTCAGTAGCTTAGGTGGTAACGTCAAGGACAACAAATTAAGAGGTTACATGTTCTTTCCAACGTTTAGACCATAAACACGCTTAGCTATTAAACACAACACTAAACATGTTTAGATCCTAAATGCTTCAACATAATGGGACTAGGAACGCATTTTTTACAGTGTAGACTTAACTTGTTTTTTAACCAGTATCCAACTTTTAATTTTCCCCATGAAAATATGGTTAATTCACAGCCACGGTTTTATAATCCTAAAACATTCTTAAGACATGAATATCTTACATAGTGTTTACACACTTAAATAACGCCATTGATCGATATTCCAAACACTAGAAGACCTTTAGGTCTTCAAACACGTGACCGTAATACTTCACATGTGTATAAGTATATCGCATAAGGACTTGCTAAAACAGCACCATAATGTAAGCCCCGTTTGGGACGGGAAATTAAATACCACATAGACTGTGCCATGATGCATGTGTTAGTTTGAAGGTATAAAAAAGTATGTGAAATGTATGATGTTATACGCTGGGAGTCTTTAATCAACAGTGACTGTATAGTACTTCCCAGTTTGAAACTGTGATCACTGTTGCCTTTTCACTGGGATTGATTGACCAATTAAGATTTACCAGGGCTCAAAAGAAATATAAATGTGCCTTACACACAAATAAAAAAGGCTTTATGTCCTTTGGAAGATCACCTATATATATCATGATTTTTACATCCACCGGGATTCTGACACTTGCTGTTCCGTTGAGTGAGTGAGTGAGTTGGGTTTAACGCCGCTTTTAACAGTATTCCAGTTCTATCACGGGGTGTCAGTTTAATATGGGAGGAAAGCCCGAAGTGATGCAGGTCTCAGACGTTTACCACTTCGGGGAAACCCACGAGCACGGGTATGGTGCTGACAAACCGAGAAACATAATCGGGGCGAACCGAGATTCGAATACACAATCCTAGGTTTCTGGCGTGCC